TACATTAATATAACTGCCACAGACAGTTCCCACACTCGACAGTGCCAGCATTTACTACTTCATTCACAACTTCCTTGTCGTTGACTTGTTTTCCCCCTTCCAATAGCATTTTAGTATTTTAGATACAATTAATTATCTATCACGCTACAACAAACGTTTGTCACACTCCACACTTCTCGCCTTAACTACCGGTACTTCATTCACAACTTCCTACGTCGTGTACCTGTTTCCCTTATCCCTTCCAATAGCATTTTAATATTTTAGATACATCTATCTATATCTATATCTATACTTATTTAATACGCAAGCAGGATTTTTGTGACAATTACTCCTCCGAAACTACTGAACCGATCCACATGTTTTTGGTGTCATTGGAAAGAGCGTAACGTGAAGTTGTGCAGGAAACTTTCTTTTTAGGGAAATAATTAGAGAGTGAGGCCCTGGGGCCCTTTAAAGCTACGTATTTCTCCATAAGATAAACATTGGCAACAAAATGTTTTATAAAACTCCAGCTGTTGTCAGAAATTAAAAGTGAGAAGAAGAACATATGTTAATCGTAAACAGTCAATAAGTTTGCTAATTTAACAGTTTGCTACACACATTTACTGACTTGGTAGAAATGAAATATTTGCTACGCACCATAAAGCTTTCTATACAGGGTGTCCCATAAGTAAAGTGCCAAACTCTGGGAATAGGTTCTATGGGTCAAAATAAAGAGAAAATCAAGAATAAAGTTTTTTTCAAAAACGCTTCGTTTACCAGATATCCGCCATTTTGTATTTTTTACTAAATAATTTATATCTTCTGATTTTTTCAACCGATCCTTATAAAACTCGGTAAGTATGTTTAGATAAAAGAGACATACTGTAGAAAAAAAATTCAACTTGGTCCAATTTAAAATTTCAAAATGGCGGCCATTTTGAACATTTAATCTAAAATTACGGGAAAACGGTAAAAAATACAAAAATGTACTAAGAACACTTTTTTTTATAAAATTTTATTTCCAATCTATCAACACCAAAAACATGAAAATCGAACAAAAAATAACCGAGATACATTAAAATGTGTGTTAAGAGGCAGCAAAAAATCCATTTGTTGTAAATAGCCCCAATCAGCTGAACAGCTGATTGAAAAACATGTGTTTGTTGAGTTGCATTGTTGCATTGTTGTTATTATTGTTCTGTTTACTTTAAACATCATCATTGTGATCAGGTTAGGTTGATATTTTCTAAGTTTATTTAAATGCCGAACCATAGCTATTCTAATGTCGAGCTAGCTGATATTCATTTTTTTTACGGCTTAGGTAATGGGAATTCGCGTGAGGCATGCCGCCTTTACGCAGAAACGTTCCCCAACCGACGAATTCCGTGTAGGAAAGTGTTTGTAAATGTTCACAGGAATTTGAGGGAACGAGGAACACTAAAATTCACTGAGAAGACCGGACGGGCTGTTTCTGTAGATACATTAAATAATCAAGAAAGAGTTTTGACGGCCGTGGAAGAAGACCCAAGTACTAGTGTTAGAAGAATATCGCTTGAACATGGTATTTCAAAAAGTTCTGTGTGGCGGATTCTACATAATCAGCAGTTGTATCCTTACCATATCCAAAGGGTGCAATGCCTAACCGATAGGGACTTTCCACCCCGTATTAACTTATGTCAATGGTTCTTGCAACAGATCGCATTACTTCCTCTGTTTCTCTCCAACATTTTATTTACCGATGAGGCTGGGTTCTCGAGAGAAGGAATTTTTAATTTTCATAATAATCACTTCTGGGCCGATGAAAATCCCCATGAGATATCACAAAGAAGGCATCAAGTGCGCTTTTCTCTCAATGTTTGGATAGGCATTGTTGGGGACTATCTTATAGGGCCATGGTTTTTACCCAACCGACTTAATGGTGTGTCTTACTTAAACTTTTTAACACAAGATCTTCCCGGATTGCTAGAAAACTTACCCCTTCATTTGAGAAACAATATGTGGTTTATGCAAGACGGTGCGCCACCACACTTTTCATTGGATGTAAGGCGACATTTAAATCAAGTGTTTGGAAATAAATGGATAGGGCGTGGGGGGCCCATCCCATGGCCTGCCAGGTCTCCTGACCTTAATCCCCTGGACTTTTTTGTATGGGGCTATTTAAAATCTTTGGTTTACCATACCCCTGTTGACAGTATTGAGGACTTAAGGGAACGAATTGTAGCAGGTTGTGAAGTGATAAGACAAAAGCCTGGGGTATTTGAAAGAGTGAGGGAGTCGATGAGAAAGAGGATGGTTTGTGTCGTAGAAATGAATGGAGGACACATGGAACATTTGTTGTAGTTGATAACTTTCAAAAAAGCTATCATTTGTTAAGATTTGATTTTGTATTTAATTAGTTTCCTCATTTTTTATGTTGTCACTCAATAAATGGTTTCAATGTATCTCGGTTATTGTTTTGTTAATTTTAGATTACAAGTTTAAAATGGCCACCATTTTCAGATTTTAAATTGGACCAAGTTTAATTTTTTTCTACAGTAGGTCTCTTTTATCGAGTTTTATACAGGTCGGTTGAAAAAATATGAATTATACCAATTACAATTATTTTCTAAAAACAGCTGATCTGGTGATTGGGGCTATTTACAACAAATGGATTTTTTGCTGCCTCTTAACACACATTTTAATGTATCTCGGTTATTTTTTGTTCGATTTTCATGTTTTTGGTGTTGATAGATTGGAAATAAAATTTTATAAAAAAAAGTGTTCTTAGTACAATTTTGTATTTTTTACCGTTTTCCCGTAATTTTAGATTAAATGTTCAAAATGGCCGCCATTTTGAAATTTTAAATTGGACCAAGTTGAATTTTTTTTCTACAGTATGTCTCTTTTATCTAAACATACTTACCGAGTTTTATAAGGATCGGTTGAAAAAATCAGAAGATATAAATTATTTAGTAAAAAATACAAAATGGCGGATATCTGGTAAACGAAGCGTTTTTGAAAAAAACTTTATTCTTGATTTTCTCTTTATTTTGACCCATAGAACCTATTCCCAGAGTTTGGCACTTTACTTATGGGACACCCTGTATACTTTCATTAACAAAAATCCTTTGGCTATTAAGTTAGCCCACATTGAACTCAAAGTCATTTCTTTCTTAATAAAGATAATTCCTAATTTGGGTTTTATTTCTGTCTAATAAGGTAAGTCTTTATCTTTATCTTATAATATACCTATGAATTATTTTGAGAATAAATAGATTTGGTAAGTTACAATATAAAATTTATTAATGAAATACAAATATACCGTAAGATAAGTTATTGGTTGAATTAGCTACAGGGTAAGTTAACAATGGTAAATTTTCAAAATGGTGGGGGTTCCAAAGTGGATGAAAAGATTCTAGGCTTATTGGGTTGGTTTCTTCTAAAGTACTAATTAATATTTAAATAGATGACCTCTTAATCTCAGGGAGGGGTGGTCGTGCCGGTTCGAATGATATATTAGGCTTCTTTAAAATGTAGATAATTTAATTTAGTTATTATTCTGAAATTCTAGGTTCGTGATGCTATTAATATAATAATGTTAATGTCCAAAGAAAGATTCCAAATGGTTTCAATGAATTAATTAAATAAAACAGAATTTGAAGATTAAATTTTGAATAAAAGTTCCATTTGAAATATGTATATCTTGATGAGTTAAGTTAATTAGGCCTATTAGGCTATGCTGATTAAATGTCCAATGAAGATTAAATTTGTCCTTAGTTAAACAAGATGGATGATGGTTACCAAATTTAGAGTGTCTGCCTTTTTAAAATTTGGTACTCTTCAAGGCACTTGCCCGCATACTTTTGGATGATAAGAAATTTAAAATTTAGATTATACTTTGGGATTATGAATTTAATTTAAATCAAACACAATGTCCAATAAAATGATGTTCACACTGTGAAGAGTTGGCAGGATCTGGGGAGAGGCAATGGTAGAAGCAAAGATTACATATGTTAGCATATGTAATCTTTGGTAGAAGCTCAGGAAGTCATGTCATTGTTGAAATGATGTAGATGTACAGCTGGTTAGTTCACATAAAAGACACTTGCCACAGTAATTTTGATTTTCTTTGGATAATTTTGAAAAGTAATACTATATGTAAGATGTTATTATTATATTGCAATTTTCTTACAATTATATATTATTCTAAATAAATGATTATTGTTGGTTTTTTATAAGTACAGGATAGATATGGAGAGAATTGGCATAAATATTATATTGTAACATAAAATAGGATGATGTTTCTGTGGGGTGATGGGATATTATATAACATTTTACAAAATTGGATAAAATAACACATTAACAAGGAGAAACATATTAAATAACTGATAACACATTATCAGGGGCATTAACAGACATTATGGGAGAAAATATACAAAATAATAGAGAAATTAATGTTAATGATGAATGAATGACATGTAATATTACAAATTTAATTTACTATTTGAATTTGGGTTGGCGTAAATATTACAATGGAAAAAAGCTAGAGAGCCTGGATAAATTGATATAAACTTAAAACTCAATTAACACTGTGCTGCATTTCTTAGTAATCATTGAAAGAGCCGATTTGATTTGTAAACTATGGTAACATAGGAAAGTCATAGAACATCACCAAGGAGAAGAAATAGAAATCATGTTTTTTTTTTATAATCGTTATTAAATTTAACTTTATAAACATAAATTTATTAAAAGATCAAATATAAAATACGTATATAGAATTGAAAACCAAAACAATGTTTAAATTGAAAATCTATTTTTGTACATTAAATTGGTGTCAATATTTTCAAAGCCCAGTAAACAAGCTTTTGTATTAAAAAAAAAATACACAAATGACCATTAGCCGCCTCCAAACAAAACAGCTGCTATTACAAGCCTACTTGAAATTTCGATGTTGCCACTTCGAAGTGGCCGCGGCCTGTAGTTAAAGGTGGCCGTGGTTGTGAGCAAAAAAAAGAAGAATTAATTATGGCAGGTAAGAGTAAGAACAAGAAGAAGAAACCCTTCTTTCTAAATGTAAACAAACACTAAACAACAGAAACAGTTCAAGTTCAACACCAACCAGTTGTTGTTGTTGCTGTAGGATAGCATTGAGGTTATAATAAGCATACTTCAAAACCTAGCCTTTATCGTTTTAATTTACTTATAAGCTCTCAGTTTTGTATAAAATTATAGTCTCTGCTATGCCCCCAAAGAAATCAGAAGGGGCAAAAGGTGGAGGTAAAGCGAAAGATAAGGATGAAGCAAGTTCCAAAGGAGGCAAGGAGAAGAAAGGTGGCACAGCAGTCAAAGTAAGATATGCCTTAAGTTTACTCACTAAAGGAATTTTATGAAGAAATCATCATTTACAGCAGCACTTTAGTTTACGTCCTACACTCACTCGATGAATATTACGATTAGCCTATATCATTTGATATATCAAGTTTGGTTAGTTAGGTTAAAACCTAACCTAACTAATCCAATGAGTGTATGATGTAAACTAAAGTGCACAGCCACATTTACAATTTACTATTGTATTGACACTATTGTAATTCTTGATTAATGCACAATAAAGAATATTGTATTGTACACATCCCTCAACACACACCCCTCCACATCCCTCCTGGTATTGTTTACATTTTTCAGGGCCATATTTGCGAACATAGTTCTGTAGATTGCTCCTAAGCCGCAATGACGTTCCTCACCTCTAACTGGCATAATTTTTAAACAGAATGACACTATTTGCAGCTCTAAGTAGCCTAGCTGATGTAAATATGCACTGCTGTGTGTTTAATTTTTTTATTGAATAACCGCTGTGTGCGAGATAAGGTCAGTGACGTTTTTTGGCTGCACTTTAGTATCTGTCCTACACTCATTCGAATGAAAAATATCGATATACTGTATAGATTAAAGCCTAATATTTTGATTTCATTCGGTTTGTTAGGTTAGGTTAACCTAACTTACCAAACTTGATAGGTAAATTGAATGAAATAATCTATATTATTCATTCGAATGAGTGTAGGTTAGATACCAAAGTGCAGCCCGTTTTTTTTTTTTTTCAATAAAGAAACATACTTATCCGATGCCCATATTCATCACCAGATGACTGAAGGTTGGCCTTAACTTAGTGCATTGAGTGAGAGTAGGCTAGAATGTAGAAATAGGTTAGGAGTCTAAAAATGGCCATGAAACCTTTTTCCCTTTGAGGTCTTCTGTAAGTAGCGTGGATACCCGCCAAAAACACAATTCCTTCCAAAATGAACATTTTCATGTCCATTTTAAAACTCTCTAGCCTCCCATTCCAGCACTTTCTCCTCTATCGTAGCATTAGGGTTATAAACTTCAGTCATCTGGCGATGAATGTCAGTATCAAATAGGTACTGTATGTTTCTTGTCAAAAACGTATCACTAACCTAATCTCGCTCGAGCAGGGTATTGGAAAACACACAGTGAAGTGTAGACGTCACTGACGTCAGCTACAGAGCTGCAAATAGTGTCATTCAGTTCACAAATGATTCGAGGAATTCTCATTGCGGCGTACACACGATTAACGGAGCCATAGTCAAAAACGGCCCTAACTTAAAGTACCGGTAATTCCAATGTTTGCACATCCTTCACATTATCATTGTTTGTTTTGTTTGTTTTGCGTGTTGTTTTGTTTTGTACAGGGATTTTCTTTAATTTCAGTATGTATGTATGTGTGTGTGTGTGTGAGTGTGTATCAGTGATCGCGCCTTGTGCGGTGGTTTTGGGGGCGCCTGTCGTGACGTCGCGACCTGTGGACCCGGGATAGCGAGTCCACAGCCGCACAGTGCTCGCCGCAACGACCCGCTTATCTCTCCCCCCTCCCCCATCCTACACCCTACATTGTCCACCGCTGATTGTCTCTCTCGCTCCTTATCTCCATATCCTAAACACCTGAAAGCGGCGCACATCAATGCCCAGTCTTTGCGTGCTCACATTGATGAGGTTAGAGAAATCTTTTATCCTGGAAACTTTGACTTGATTAGCATTTCTGAATCCTGGCTTAAGCCGAGTATTCATTCAAATGAGGTGTCTCTCCCTGGATATGTGCTGCAGCGAAATGATAGGATTGGTAAACAGGGCGGTGGCGTTGCGGTGTATATCAGGGAGGATTTAAAGTTCAAAACTATTTTTGCTTCACCATCGGAGTACTCGGCTGGGCCAGAATTCCTATTAATTGAGATTAGTTTATCTGGAGCAGATGCGCTGTTACTAGGGGTGTGCTACCGCCCACCAAGATCAGGGCATCTGCTCAATTTTGAAAATGCCTTGCTTAATGAAATGTTCAGATACAGTCATGTTTTGATCATGGGTGATTTCAACACTGACTTACTATCATCGACTCATAACTTTGAACACAGACAGCTGACTACTTTGTTTGAATCATATAACCTAACTGTACTTCCACTCGATCCCACACATCATGTTGCCAATTCTGATACCCTCTTGGATCTAATCGTAGTGTCCAATCATCAAGATATCATTCACCATGGGCAGCTTCCAGTCCCTTCAATATCCAAACATGACCTTATTTTCTGTGTGTACTCAATCAAATCTCCTAAGCCCAAAGCAAAGCTTATTAAATATCGGGATTTTAAAAATATGAATGTTGCACAATTCATGTTAGACGTTCAACAAACTCCGTGGCACTTCATTCAAAATTTAAATTCCGTCGATGAAATGGTTCATGAGTTAAATTCTTCCATATTAAATCTCTTTGACAAACATGCTCCCATCTTAACAAAGCGCGTGACAAAAAGAAGGCCTGTTCCATGGATGACCCCTGAAATCAAAGGTTTGATGGCTAAACGTGATAGCTTAGGTAGAAGAGCTAGGCACTCCAACAGTATCGAACTAAAACAACAATATTGTAATCTTCGTAATCGAGTTAAACAGCTTTTGCGAAATTCCAAACTCAGATACATTCATGCACTTTTTGAAAATCAAAAACAGCCATCGAGAGTTTTATGGCGTAAAGTTAAAAGTCTTGGGCTTGGGAAACAATTTGATTCTCAACCAGTACACATCCCTCTAAATGAGTTAAACGTTTACTTTTCTTCTAGCAGTCAAAATACCAATCAGCACAAAGTCAATAGTTACTTGAATGAATTAGTCAACTCTCCAACCCCGCACCTGGGATATCCCGAGTTTAATTTCAAACCAGTTATTCAGTCTGATGTTTTGATGGCTATTCGCAGAATCCGAAGCAATGCTGTCGGTTCTGATGGGATACCTATCCGCTTTATCAAAGACATCCTCTACGCAATCCTTCCTACTATCACGTTCATTTTTAATGCATCTTTGAGGCACTGTTCTTTCCCTTCATTTTGGAAGTCTGCCATTGTCCGTCCCCTAAAAAAGATCTCAGCACCAACTCTAGTTGGGGATTTCAGGCCGATAAGTATTTTGCCCGCTCTATCTAAAGGCCTAGAAAGGATCGTTCACTGTCAAATCACTGAATTCATCACTGAAAATAACATTCTATCTGACTATCAATCTGGTTTCAGATCAGCGCACAGTACAGAAACAGCACTCCTTCGAGTGACTGAAGACATTAGACTTGCTATGGAGCGTCGACAGGGAACGATTCTAACTCTGTTTGATTTTTCCAAAGCATTTGACTGTGTTAATCATGACTTGCTGGTGCAGAAATTAAGGGCAATAGGGTTTTCCCAGAATTCTCTTAAATGGCTGAGATCTTATCTGTCAGATAGGCAGCAATGTGTGGAGGTTGGTGACACAAGATCAGACTGGATGACTGTTACATGCGGTGTGCCCCAAGGATCAATCCTTGGACCACTGCTCTTTGTACTGTACGTCAACGACATAAACTCGACCTTGACCAACTGTAAACACCACATGTACGCTGACGACTTACAAATCTATGACTATTTTACTGCAAACAACGAAAATGACTGTGTCAGAAGGATCAATGAAGACGTTAACCGAATAGTTACTTGGACTGAGAATCATGGACTGAGACTAAATCACGAAAAGACAAAACCGATTGTAATCTGCCACCCTCGACTTCGCCCTTCAATTGACTTAGACTCAATAAACCCAATCACAGTCGGTGGCAAAGCATTCTCATTGTAGGCTACTATCTGTATTGAGTTCGCATCTATTATTTTTGCAATACGCTCGCTCTAGTCTCGCTGAGTTAGTGACGATACGACCAGGACTTGTTGTTTGCTCAGAGTTGCAAGCAAATCATTAGCAATCTGAATTTATTTTGTTTCTTTGTTGCTTTATATTAGGGGTGTGCGAAGCAGCAAAAAATTTTCGATTCGAAGCAACGATTCGATTCAAAAGATTTTCGATTCGATTCGATGCAACTCGATTCGAAGCAATACGGTATTTTTCTATTCATAATTGTCAATTGAGTGGATTAACAATAATTAAAATTTACCACATTTGTGTAATACAGATTTTTGTTGATGTGGTAGGCCTATACATACTTAACATATGAATTTTAGGCGAAAAAGAATATTTATTTTCAATCATAGGGATTAGAATAACCTGTATTGCTGGAAATACCAGTGAGCTGCTTTACTTGCCTATTTCATAATTTTTACTTGGAATTGGCTCAACTGCAAGAAAGAAGAAAATATTTTTTTTATCAAGACATTCATTCTCATTTTAATAACTGTTTATATAACTAAATAGTACCGGTAGCTAAATTACAACAAATTTGAATGGAACTTAATATAAAAAGACCATTAAGAAATAAATTTACATATCACAAGTTTAGGGCCTGTGGACCGGCTTCAGGACTGCAAGCAAGAAGAAAATAAAAATAATATGTTTCCACCATGCAATATGTATCATTCATTCCCTACCTCCTAACTTCCTTAGTATAATAACCTCACACTTACATTATTTGTTACATCATCATAAATAAAGAATTATCTATTATTGGCATCAGTAGGACTACAGCTTTACATAGGCATTATTTTTATAGGGCCTAAAATAGTAATAGGCTAAGCAACATGACAAGTGGATAACTCATTAAAGAAAAGATATTGTGTAAACTAATTTACTATTAAACTCAAAAACAGTAAATAACACACAAACATTGTTTATGGTATAATTATTAAGGACTGTAAAAAATGCATATCATGTCATACAGTAGTATAGACCTACTGCAAGAGTTTAAAATCCTAAAACAACTGATTTTGATAGCTAATGAATGAAAAGAATTAAAAATCCATAAAATAAAGCCAAACAATATCACAATTAATTAGGTACCCGAAAAGTAACTCTTAAATAATATTAAATCAAGAGATAAGAAAGTTAAATGCTAACTTCTAGTGCCCTTGGCAACACAGGTCAATGTTTTTAAACTACCCTCAATGTTTTTGGAACAGCAGGGTCTTTTTCTCTGAAGGAAGGGTAGTAGTTAGTAGTATGTCAACAAAAACAATGAACCACTCTCACCAGCCAGGCCCGACGATGTGTGCATTCAAGGTCATGACCCTCCCCCTCCCCTCTTACACAACCCGGTTGCTACCCAGTTGCTTCAATTGCTGACAAAATTCAAGTGATGAAACAAGGAAGTAGAGACAAAAAAATAAAAATATATTCCTTTATTCAAAAACACAAAACTGTTACAGATCATTTTCAAAGAAATTAATTCATTGTAATTTGTGAGTTGTAAATATTGTATTGGATCTTAGAAATATATTTTTTAAACCCCATCTAACCAAGATACAGATCTGTTCACTATATCAGATATTTCTTTTGTTTATAATTTATTATATAAAATACTAAAATATATTTTTTATTAGGTATGGAATAAACAATAAATGATTAAACTAGTATGTCTGGATAAATAGTCTTTCTATTCTTTTGACTTTGTTTTCTTTGCACTGTTAGTGTTGCGTCACGGCTTTTGTCTTGTCACTCTTGTCAGTACAGTAGACGACTAGACTGGCTCTGGCTAGTGGCAGTACGGCAATTGCTCCGTTGTGTCTTTATTCTTAAAGGTCGTGAGCCAACTTAATCTTTAATTCTCATTTGAACATTTTAATTCCTCTGTAATATTAGATATAATAATATAAGTGTGTTTCTTTGGAAATAAATTATTATTTTTTTTCTTTTGCCCGAACATTTGGGGACCGGCAGACCCCTAACAAAAATACCAAATGTATCAGTCTATAACATTAATTTTTCTAGTTAAGTATTAAGTAACAATTTTTCAGACTTATTTTAAAAATGATTTTGGAGTAACCTATCTTGTTTTGGCTAGGTTTACAGTAGTAAAATATTTTTCACACTGCTTACATCAAGACAAAAAAAGTTATATTTACTGCAAAGAATGTATTAAATAAGAACGCCTTCGTAAAGGAAATGCAACAGCAACGCGCTCCTGTATTGCGGGTATTGCATTGACTTTCTGCAGGCGTTTTTCGTATATGGATACTGACTCCCTCATGAATCGAATCGTTTTTTGACCACCACTGAATCGAATCGCGATTCGATGCATCGAATCGAATCGAATCGAAATTTCGATCCATTTTCGATGCATCGCACACCCCTAGTGAAAAACAGTCTAAGGCTTTAGAAGCATTAGAGAAAATAAAATCTGGAATGAAATTCAATGAAGTTGCTGCACAGTACAGTGAAGACAAAGCCAGACAAGGGGTAGGTTACTGATTAGACAGGTACAAGTAACAACCTTGATTGTTTCACTTATCGCCTTAGAAATATGGGAGTGCCCCTAAACGCCAGGTAAAATAAATATGTTCAGGAGCACTCCCATATTGCTAAATGTATGAGAGTGATAAGTAAGGGACGGTTTTGTGTTTAAAACGGTAGTTTGCTTGTATGCCGCAACGAGGCTCCTCACCACTTACTAGCATCACAAATAGTAGCCTCTGTTGCTTCCATGTACACTTTTCTGTGTGTTTTTATTTTATAACATTTTTTAAACCATCAAATCTCCTGCCTTGTCTGAGGTAAGGTCAGTAATATACGTTTGATTACAAGAAACATATCCGATGTTGACATTTATCGCCAGATGACTGGAGTTTATAACTTTGATGCAACTATACCACAGAAAATGCAGAAATAGATTAGGGAGTTTAAAAATGGCCGTGAAAATGTTCATTTCGGATGGAATTGTGTTTTTGATGGGTAGGGCCTACCCAGACACACAGAAGACCAAAAAGGTAAAAGGATTTAATTTTACACTCGCATCTATGGCCATTTTTACACATCACAACCCACTTCCGCACTGTACTCTCACTCATTGCATTAAGGCCAAAGCCTTCAGTCATCTGGCGATGAATGTCAGCATCGGATACGTTTCTTGTAAATGAAAAACGTATCACTGACCACTGACCTGGTTAAAAAATTTTTTTAAACACTGAAGAATACATAACAGGTACAAAGCTGCAATTTGTGTCATTCTGTTCACAAATAAATGTGGCCAGTATGTGGTGAGGAGCCTCGCTGGAACTTGACAAATGAACTACGGATTTAAATGCAAAACCTGCCCTTAAAAAAAAGCTGCCCTTGTATAATGTTAGTTCCACTAAACCAGTTATAAAATATCTACCACTATAACATGTAAAGTAGTAACATGTATGTTCTACTTTTAGTTGAAATGCAAAGCTATACACAATTTTAATCCGTTTCATATACTAGTGTAATATTGCTAGAATCAACATTGATGTCCCTACAGTAGCTACTTAAAAACAATTAAAATTAATTTTGGCTACGAATTTAATTTTTGTCTTGGATAATCCGAGGGCTCCCGGTAAATTTAGGTTTCCAAAGAAAATCACATGAAGTGATAAATTCAATACAATACCACAGAAGTATTTAAGTGGTTGCCTATTTTGTAACCCTGTAATCTCATACCTACGCTAGTATCATAAAAAAACTTTTACTAACAAAACACAAAATGAAAATATATAGGGCTACTAGGGTTAGTTGTTCTTGTTTAAAGTTGTGTTTAATGATGCAGGGAGACCTGGGCTGGATGACGAGAGGTTCAATGGTCGGGCCGTTCCAGGACGCTGCGTTTGATCTGCCAGTGTCATCCTTAGCGTCACCAGTCTACACAGATCCTCCAGTCAAAACAAAGTTCGGATATCACATTATAATGGTGGAAGGGAAGAAATGAAATATCTTAGTGTTTGTAAATAAAGTAATTTAATATCATGATTGTATTTTACAGATTCAAGGAGACAGTCCATTTATACCCTTAAAATATTTTAAATAAACTTTTTTCTAAATGTGGTTTTTAACAACTTTTGTTTCTGTATATCTTGAAACATCCACAGATAGTTTTACATTGTGTTTCCACGATATTCAGTTTTGAGTTCCTAGATAGTTGAAGGTTGATGATTTAAATTCTCTCTTCGAGTTTTAGTCCAAGGCCGGAGCAGTTTGTAAGGATGGATCTTTGTTCTTCTCGATTGGATTTTGCTTGTTCCGTTTTTGTTTTTTAGCTAAAAAAAATATCATAGGAAGAAATTTGAACTATCTGGATTTTTATAACTTGATGATTTTAAAAAGTAAAGCCAAATGAGTGGTTAGAAATTATTTTTAATATTTAATTCAGATAGCTTAACTGAGATTTTTTTAGTAAATGGGCTCATATATATAGATACATAAATAAAAGGTTCTTAATAAACCATTCTTATAAAAATATGATGCCTTGTATCAAAAATTGGTTTTATGTGTAGAATGTTTAGCCATAGAAAATTATTTCAGAAAGTAATTATAAACTAATTTGTACACAACCAACTAATATGATACATCTAATCTCACTGAGAGTTAAAATAATAGTGAGTTAGAGAAAAGCTTAATGTCCAAACAATCCTATACAATGTATCCACTTAAGCTAGGCCTACTAACCTTTTTCAAAATAAGCCCTCTTTATCAACTCCTCTTTTCTGTGCTGCAACAAAAAAATTATTGCTTAGAGTTTGTATTGCTAATAAGTCACTGGTAAGAAACAATTTGTGACTGACGAAAAAGGGTTAAAATGTGCAAATAAACACAAACAGATGCTTCAAAGCTACTAGTTCCCTCTTCAGTAGTGGAGTCTTTCTTTGTTCTTATCAAATAAAAGTCCAAGAACAAACAAAAACTAAAATTCTAGGTGTCCATGTGTTTATTCCCATCCTTTTTTGTTAGCAAGGTAAGCAAGCCTACTGTTAAACCAATCCACCATAGAATCCTTAAGCCATTACCAAAAACCGTTATAACCTTTTTTTGTCCTAGGACACTAGGCACGAGACCGCGATTGTTTTCACATTACTTCAGGCTAGACCTAGGGGTTGCGGCATGATCACTTAGATTAATATTATCAATTATGAATTATTTTAAGATGGGGATGCCACTAGGTGCGTATTTTAACCCAAATATGAGTGAAGAATGAGTGTAGGATGAATGGCGCCATTTTGTAGTCTTGTTAGTGAATAAGGCTGACATCTTCCTTAGGCAAAGTTGTTAATTAATAGCCCATACAACCAATGGCAACTAAGGGACCTACAGTTTATAGTGGAATCCGAAACACATTTTTGACCGTGTGTTTTGTTCGAGCAGGCCTGCATGTTTTAAAGCTTTACGTGTTGTAAATGTATATGTTCCGTGTCGTATTCGTGTTACGTGTTTATTTAATTGAACAATGACGAAACCATATGGTGAATAAAAACTTCACTAGTTAGTACTCAGCTGATGATGACAATGTGTCGAAACATGTACTGAAACATGAAGTGAAATTCACGATTCAATGAGCTATTGACGTAAGTAATCTAGTCTTACAATTATAGAGAACCTAATGCGGCTATGAGGGGGAAACATTTGTAGAAAACTCTAAAAAACAAGATCAGCTTTTGAAAAAAGATAAGATATTTACAAACAATTTTGATTATATCTAACTGTTGTGTACATCGTGAGTATTTCCATAATCTTTTGAGTCGACTTTTATAAAGTCATCGGAAATTATGACCGTTATTTGTTTTTAAATAACGCCTGTAATGCTTTCAATTGCTCGAATTCGAGCAACAGGTACACTAGTACCTTAATAAATTAAAATAGGCTAAAAAAATACACAAAAAGTTAATTTGAAATATGAAAAAATAACATGGGACTAATGGGTTGCCATGCTGGTGACGAAATAGTAACGAAATGTAAACAAAAAATCAAAACAAATGAAAGAAATTCTAAGCACATGTTTTATTTACAGCATGGGGTGAAAATAGAGAAGTACATTACATATTTTTGGTCGAGTTTTGAGTTTTCGACTACTGGACGACTTCTAGTAACTTAATATTGTATTACTTGATTACCTTTCTTTGGTAGTAAGCCTCAATGCTAGGATCCACAGTTACTCGAAGCCGTGGAAAAGGAGTCGTTCTACGAGTATAATACATAGCTAGGTCATCCACCTCCACCTGATAAAATAAAATGAACTTATTCAGAATTGAAACACAACATCCAAAAATTGCATTTAAGTGCACACAGTTTTCCATGGTTAGGACACGATAATGTTAATGATAATTGTCTGGATAGCCAATTAGAACTCTCCTTCAAATCTAAGGGTTGTGGGTTCAATCCCATACAGTTTGATTCTGGTCTAAGGCGTCATTGGACTATCGATTAATGATTCCAACAAAATGTTGATGTTGGATAGTAACAAGACTATTTTTGATTGCTCCCTTACAAAAAAGTACAAGATCCCAATAGTGTTAAATCACACAAAATAAAAAATTAATTTATTTTCATAAGTTCAGAAATGGGGCTTGCTTATTTTGCCAGCTTGGCTACCATAAAACAAAAGCAAAATATCACAATAAACAAAATCACCAAACAATATGAACCTATTTTAATATTTGTTCTATATTTTAAAACTTAAAGTGATTACTTTAAAGAAGTGAAGTGAAGTGATACTTTAAAGTGATTAAACAACCAAAATATTTAAGAATTAGAGTATTAAATCTTAGGTATTTTATAGTATATTTCCTTAGTATTTATTCCATTATAAGCTCACAAAGAATAAGAATATACAACACCTAAACGTGAAACTAGAGGGAAAAGTTTAAAATTTGCAGATCTGCATGCTTTTTACAATTCTAAACTAAGCATTCATAACTATATTTAACACCACATTATGGAAATAAATATAAGGAAATATCTTTATTTGCTTATCTGTGATCATTAAGTACTTTCTAAGAAAACAAATAAAAATGTTGTGAGTTTGAGGCTAAATAATAATTATTCTCATCAGAGACTATATCTTCACTGTTCCACATTAGAAGCTTAATCTGATTTAAATTTTTACATTACTTTTTGTTTTATTTATTCAAGTTATCAAATCTTAAGCTCTAGGCTAAACTGAAATTTATAATCACGCTCAAATTTTATATCCCTACTAAACACTTGTATCTTTGTTACCGTGTTGTTTTGCACATTCCGGAAGTTCTTACGTTTCCTAATTTTTCCAAATTGTCCTAGAAGAGCATTTGCTGTAAACAAAACTGAAATGATAAACACAAAATACACTTTGCCACTCATTGTTGCGTAACATTGTCCACATTGGGCTATCACCTCGATCTGATAACTAACACAATAGGCTTATGGACTTGGTTTATTCTTTTTTAAACCATCTTGTCTGTAAATTAATATACCCTGTGCTGCAGCAAACCAGCAGACTAAGTGAATTTTCATTAGCCAGATTGGGTTTTTACTCAAATATTTCCTTAAAAATGTCAGATTCATTACCTTTTAAATTAAATTAATTGAGTAATTAGGTCTGCAGCTACAGGGAATGTAATGAAGCACCGGCACGTGTTTTTGGTAAAATGTCAATAAACTTAGAAATCTATTCATACTACTAATTAGTATGAATAAAAAAAAAATCCAAATTTGATCTAAATTATATCCTCAAACAAGCAAAATACCGGTACAACAGTTGATATTTTACCCTCCATAAGAATAACCGGAATTGTAAATTTAAAGTTTTTTGGAATTTTCCCCATGACGATTCAACCTACAACAACGCTTCAATATTCTAAATTATTTGTTTATTACAACTTTTTTTAGAAATCAATTGCAAAGTTTTATGTTTTAAGGGTCAAAAGGGAAATATTCATTTTTACCTTAACACCCTGTTCCCGTTGTGCCCGTGATTCAATAATTGTACCAAATGTCATCAAAATCGGATAATTTTTACTTGAGTTGTGCTAGCAGACACATAAATAAATATATGAAATTGAACAGATTTAATGCCTCTGGGGACCTGAAAACGAAAAAATAAATTGGTCCTGTGGCTAGGGGGGATATAATACTAGTGAAATATCTTAATAACTTAAAAATAATGAATAAACGAGTACATTTACACAATTTTCTGCAGTATTTATGTTATTATGAAGTTTTGTCACAAGCTTCATTTACTAGACCAAAATGATAAGTGCTAGGTGATTAACTGTAGGGTATGGAATAGTTTACAACATAAGTATTTCCATTCCCTATACTGTATACCATTTCTCAGTTTATTGTAATCACATAAATAATGCATTTATAAGTCATCTTTAACAGATTAGACATACTTCTTGAGCTCCTTTTAATATTTGCTAGGTGTTATATTTATCTTCTCACAAATGCCAACCTTACAACCAAACACCAAATGAGCATTACAAGTTTCTAGTTGGCCTTTTTTTATATAAAAAAAAACTTCTAATTTGAATTTTAAGTTTAATTTTTCAATAAAAAATTTTTAAATATTCACTTTACTGTGGTGTCACTAATTTTCAAAATATTGTAGCCCCTTGAAATGCTTGTCAAACATCTACATAAACTACAATTTTAATTAAATAAATATTGTGTGCTCAGTACCGTAATAAAAAAATTTTTTTTGAATGCAGTATAAGTAATGTTTTTATTAGCGAATTTACCATGGGAAATAAGCAATTACCGTAGGTCTCATGGTAAGACCTGGACCCGGGGCCGATTTACTTGTTCGCTTTGATGTCTCCTGAGAGGCCAAAAATTCCATCCGTTTGATTCATATGTATATATGTGTCTGTTAGCACGATAACTAAAGCAAAAAACATCAGATTTTAATGAAACTTTGGTAAAAATGCTTAAAACCCACATATTTATTTAAACGAGTTTGCGAACCAGCATGATCGTACCATATAGGACCGAGGTATTGAGGGGGGTTTTATGTAGGGTAAAAAATTGGTTTTCTAATATACCCTCAAAACATAAACTTTTCTAATTTCTCTCTAAACTATTTTAAAGGGCTTGAAAAAACAAATAATTTAGTATGTTGAAGTGTATTTGTACGGTTATTGGTTACGGAGAAAATTCAAGAAAATTGATCATTTAAAATCCCAGTGTTATTCTTATGGAGATTAAACTGTTTTAGGTTGCTTGTTTTGGATATATTTAGATCAAACTTAGAAAATTAATTTAATTTACACTAAGCTATATTAATACTTTACTAAAAGGCAAACTTTATTACCTTCCCTGTAGCAGCAAACCTAGGCGTGACTGATACGCTATTATGGTTTCTCATGTTTCTCTACGCTATCTGGTGAGACAATACACCCTTTGCTACCCATCATATTATAAAACCACCTGTAGAAAAAAAAATCTTTTGTGTTTTTCTATTATAATGTGTTACATTTTCAAATAATTAAGGAACGCTAACACAGCTGCTGCAGTGTATATATACATGACGTGACAAAGTGGCTTTTTTACTCGTCTATAGCTCTGAAGAAACAAAAGCTATTAAAATAATTTTTCATCCACTGGATAGGAGCAATCATTCTTGGCAAAATAAAAAAAAGAATTTAAAAAAAGGTTGTGTTTGAGCCAAGAAAAACTAGTTTGAAAATTCACAAATTTTCCGTGTTCTCCTTCTTCTCCTTAAATGTTGACGGACCTACAGCCCAAACCACTGGCTCAATTTTAATGTTTTTTATGTTGTTTGAAAGCCCTTAGCGTGTAGATGTGCCTTTTGAGGGTCACAAGTCGGTGCGTTGACCCATAAACCCTTGGCAAGCCCTCAAAGTACGATTTTGGCCCATTTAAATAACATGGGATTAAAATCAAAACAAAAGAAGGATCAGCTGCGATTAAATCTCAATTAATTTAAAATGTTAGAGAAATTCATAGGATCAGCTGAAAAATTATTTTAAAACTTTTATAAAGTATTTTTTTCAGGTATACCGAATGATTTGAGCTACTTACTATATAAAATTACTTAGAGCAGTGATATTCCCCGATACTTTCCATTGAAAAATGCAGTGTACCGATGGTACACTGGTACAGCAGCTCGTCATTTTTAACAGTTTAATACTACTTATCAAAACATATGAAACCTAGGAACTTGAAACTTAGTACTAGTACTAAGGTTAGTTTTAACATTGTTTCTTCATAATATTGCCAAAATTTATTTAACTAAATAAGGTTAGTTTTATGTTTTGATACACTAAAACAAATAAAACAATCGGGAAAATCCGTCTACGTATGTTAAACAAGCAAAAAAGTGAATGTAAAAAGTGATATGTAAATTTAGGATAAAAATGAGTTTTTCAATATTTGTTTTGCCTTATGCTATTTCTAACAAACCTAATCTGTTTGATTACATTTTTACTTCTCTAATAAGGGCTCAATTTACACTAGTCTTTAGATATACGGGTTTAATTATCGGAACACTTATGTAACACCAATGCATTTTATGTGTAGTTGTGCCCTGGTCTATATATAAGAGAAAAGAGGATTTTTATTTTAACTGTTAATTTTCTACAAAAATAAATACAATCTAACAAAAAACCACTAAGTGGTAACACTTCCCCCGCCAAGTCAGCAACCCAAAAAAGACAATAAATCACCACTTTTCCGCCAAGTAAAACAATGTAATGTATGTAAGTTTGGCCACTTGGCGGCAGACTTTTGCTTGATCACTTTAAAAAATACCATAAAATTAGTTTCATTGAGCAAGTATCTCTCCCAATAGTACATTGCTAGATGAGAGCTTATTTTACAAAATTTGACCTTATTTGTGTCACATTTCATAAAATCATAATAGTGATGGTTTTATATTTACTGATTACCTCGAAATTATTATACTTAGTTGGACTAATTAATTAGAGAAGTTGATTTGTGAAATTATCCACCAACGTAACTTTAATGAAAAAAAAAACAAGCAAAAGTCTGCCGCCAAGTTGCCAAACTTACATACATTACATTGTTTTACTTGGCGGAAAAGTGGTGATTTATTGTCTTTTTTGGGTTGCTGACTTGGCGGGGGAAGTGTTACCACTTAGTGGTTTTTTGTTAGATAAGTAAATTAGTTCAGTTGAATCAAACTTATACTTTAATGTAAACAGAAAAACTAATACAAACAAAACAAATGCAAAATAACAGGTGATCATTAATTCACATACACATATGGTCTTAAGTCAGTACATCAGTTAAACACATCAATTCTCCCCTCTTAAATGTTTTGGTAACGTTATTTCGCATTTGAGTAGTTGGTCAACATGACGCCTCCAGACAGTTCCATCGTCCATTTGTACTTTATACAGAAGGTTGCTTTCCCTCTCCAATATTCTTCCAAAACTCCACTTGTCTTTTGAGTTTGAATAATTTCTCGCTTGTACTCTGTCTCCTCTTCCTTAAAATATCTTGTTGCTTGCTTCACATGTTCAGTTTCTTGTTTACGTGTAGGATGTAAAAGAGCTATGTGTGTTCAAATCTTCCTGCCAAACATCAAGGAGTATGCATCACAGCCAGATAAATTTGAGGTTTGACGTAACTGCATAAGCATTCTGTAGAGTTTGATGTCTAGTCTCCCTCCCTCGTCTTCCATTGCTCTTAGGGACTTCTTCGCACAGTCTGAACATAACGCTCAACCTGCCCGTTTGACGAAGGGTGGTGCAGGGCTACCGCCAGAACAGAGCCAAATAACACGTAATGTCACGACCAAAGTTTCACGACAATCGCGGGTTTTTTCACGACCAATCCAGCCTTATGGATTATACTGTGTTTGGTCATGACAATAACTTAAATATCATTGTAAATTGAACAGTTTAATTCAATTGAAACACATATTTTTATTATAACTAACAGTATAATTGAAGGACTGTTTAGAAATATTTAGATTATTCCAGACAATTCACGACCGTACCGCTTGTCCCTGACCATCAAGTTGATGATTTCTATCATAAAAATTTAAAAAATTAAAATATCATCATATTTAAATGTTTTATACACAAAAGAAGCACACCTCTATAAAAACATACCTAACGATTTTTTGGGTCTCAGATAAGTTTTTTCGTAGTTATACAAACTTAAAAGATTGTATTGGCTTTTATTCAATTTTTTTATTTTTTTCTAGAAAGACCAAATATACCAAAAGCTTAGTGAGCTGTTTATTGTATACATAAAGCTGTTTATAATGGCCATAAAAGTAAATTAATTTATAGCAAAACATAGTTATAAAAATTATATTAACTATTTTTAATATTCAGTTTTATGTCCGTGATGTACGTGACAAAAGTTTGTGTTTTTCCATCAAAGATGCTCTATTTATAAAAAATCACCAAAGATATTGCGTTACCATGGACATTTTATGAAACTTCAAATGTCAATGAAATAAAAAAGTTTCAAAAAACGGAACAAAAAATTTTAAATGATTTTCCTGAAAACGTACGTTTTTAAATTTTCACTCTGGCTGCCTGTAGTTGAAGCATGCTCAGTTGGGAACCGAGATAAAAAATCTACGTTAGCATGATCCGATGTTCTTCTGTATTTAATTTTGTAGTCTAATCCAGATAAAAAGTGTGTATAATTAAATAATCTAGTAGCAGATATTGATGGTAGTGTTTTTGTGGGGCTGAATATGGATACGAGTGGGTTGTGGACAGTAATCAGAGTAAATTTCCGTCCATAACAGTACGGGAAAAACTTCTTAAGCCCCCAGTAGATGCCAGTGGCTTCCTTGTTAATTTGGCTGTAGTGCTGTTCGCATTTTGTCAAACTGCGTGAGGCAAAACTTATCGGTCTCTCACTTCCATCACTGTAACGATGTGAAAGAATAGCACCAAGACCCACCGGAGAGGTATCCGTTGCTAGTACCAGATGCAAATCAGGATTATAATGTACAAGGACGCGATCACTTGCTAGTTCTGATTTGACCCTTTGAAAACTAATCTCGCATTTTGAGGTCCAATCGTGGCGTGCGTCTTTTTTGAGTAGTTGGTTGAGTGGGTGTAGGATTGTAGCTAAATCTTTTATGCATTTGTTGTAGTAGTTTATTAATCCAAGAAATTTGCCAAGTTCTGTTACGTTTTCTGGTCTTTTGCTGTTTAAGATGGAAGAGACATTTTCCTTTGTTTTATGAATACCTAGAGCATCAATTATATGTCCCAGATATTGTAGACTAGTTTGAAAAAACTTACACACTTTTCTATGTTCAATTTTAAGTTTTTACCTTTTAATCTTTCTAGAACAACCTTTCAATCTTTTCAAGAGTTCTTCAGATGTTCCCTTGTATGATAATGTCATGAAAAAAAGCATTGCACTCCGCAAATACCTTGTAAAGTTTTGTCCATGAACTGTTGCCAAAGTGAAGGATTAACTTTGACACCAAACATTAAACAGTTAACTTTGTACATACCTTTATGTGTACTCAATGTTTGCATGTGCTGTCCTCAACTTTTCCTCCGTTCATTTGAGAGTGGATTTCTTCAATTCTTGGAATAGTGAGGGTGGTTCTCATCTTTTATTACTCTGCTGTTCAGAGTTACTTTGTAATCGGCACAAATTCGCACTTGTCCGTTTGGCTTCACCACTGGTAACTGGTACTGGTACAATGGGAGCTAGTTCCCCAGTCAGTGGTTCCAGGCATAGGTCTTACCATGATGAATGTAATGATGCAGGCAGGGTAAGCTTAGAACTATAAAAATTCTAAGATCCAAAACCTATGGTGGAAGGAAAACCCCCAAACCAATTGTAATCTATATAAATATATAAAATCCAATGTATGTATGTATGTTTGTTTGTTTGTTTGTCCTTGTTTTTTTGGACTCCAAAACCGCTCGACAGATTGTTTTGAAACTTTCAGGCATTATTAAGCATTATTCAAGGATGGTTTTTGTGAAGTTTGGTGCAGATCCGTCAAAAGGGCTCCACCCCAGTGGCTCTGGAGTTTCCCATGTTAACCTTATATGTACTTATATTTAAATGGAATTAAAGAATCTTAACAGCTAGCTGGTTCAACTAAACAATTTGATTCAGTGATGTTCAATAGCATTAAAAAGTTAACAGGTTTACCAACAGGGTGCAGCACTATTATATAAAAAAAATGAAAACATCTAATTTGCACAAAAAACGTGAGTGAGCGTAGCGAACGAACTTCAAGCCTTAGGCGAGTTAGCGTAGCGAACGAGCTCCAACCTAATGTAAGTGAGCATAGCGAACGAAATTCAACCAGGAGCCATGCGAACGAGCTCATCCTGAAAATAAACGAGCATTTGATATAAATCCACATTAGGACAGGACGACGTCTGTCGGGCCAGCTAGTATTTTTATATAGTACTCGCCGTTGAAATGACAGTCAGCATTGAAAATCAACGCCAACAGCTGTTTGTGTGTGAAGAGCCATCTGATTACAGACAGAAACGAACAGAACAATCACAAAACTGCGCTGCGTCACTCAGTTGTTGTAACAAGAGGAGTCAGGGAACCAGTTATCGCAATTCCCAATATTAGTCAGCTCAGCTGCTGATTTAAGCTTTGTGTTTGTTGTAGGTCGTCATTGTGTCAGTCCAGTCAGTAATTTAGCTTTTCCCCAGCTTTATTGCAAAAATGAAGTTTCAGTACAAAGAAGAGCACCCCTTTGAGAAAAGGAAAGCCGAGGGCGAGAAAATTAGGAAGAAGTATCCAGACAGAGTACCAGTAAGAACAATTTCTATAGACATAAATCTGTCATTCTTATCAGCCATTGTTAAGAGTTATTTCAATTGTGCAATGTTTGGTTGAATTCTCATATTTCACTTGTTTATCTATCGCAGCAATTCACCACACACTTTTTGTATAGTTACTTCTTTCATTGGTTGAAAATAATAAGTAATCCTTCACTGCATTAGTTTAATAATCTATTTTTATTCAAGGCTACTGGCCAACCTAACAATAAACTTATTATTAGCCTTTGGACATATCTCCCTTTCATAATTGCATCGCTCTTAGGATTAGGATATTATAACATTGCAGTAGCATTAAAAGTTACTTCTGTTTAGCCCAAGAATTGCAAACTGTTTTGAAAAAAAAAATTTATTTCGCGTTATAATTACCTTAACTTAGACTAGGCCTAGGCTAAATTGAATGTTGATTAACTTATGTGGAAACCTTTGTAAGAAAAAGCATAGGCTTATGACTGCATTTCACTTGCAGCCTAGGTTTGGGTTGATATAAACTTGTCTAGCCTTGTTCTGCCTTAGGCCTACACACAACTTACATTAACTTAGGATAAGTTTAATGTTACTTAGGCTATCTCAGGCCTATTTTATCTCCTGAATCAAAAAATACCATTATTTTTCACTGCAAATGAATATTACAATTAATTTATTCTAGGGGGTACACTTCCGTATCTGTTGGTACAAACAACCGGAAATAAAAATATCGGTCGATAGGCTATACCTATCGAATTAAGTTAAACAATCGAATAATCAATATTACTGTGGGCCTACTCATTCGGTTGTTTGTTCCAACAGATAGTGTACCCATTCTAGGTGATATTACCATTCAATTATAGGCCTACACCATTTGAATAAACAAGGTAGAACGGTTGACATTTTACTAGTGGAATGAACTGTGGGTGAAATAACTTATAGCTTACCTACTTAAGTTTACTTACAGCTGGTTGTTATCAACCATACACTTACTTAAAGCAAATTGAAGTAGGCCTAGCCTAACAACTTCATTACTCTAACTTAACTCTGATTGGGCAATTTGAAAATCATCTTAAATTACACTTTTCACTAGCCTAAGTTAATTAACACGTTCGCTACTGAGCGTCGCATATATGCGACGCCACGGTCATTGCCACAGACCGAGGTATACATTTGAATCTTACACACAGACCGGCTGTCCAGGGGCAACAAATTTAAAAAAGTTAGATGCACATAACGTATTTTGGAAAGTTATGTATAACCACGAATACTACTTCTATTATTCGTGTGTGTAACTGAATGTTAAATATTACGTTGTATGCCTTTATTGAACAAATACATATTATTTGATACCAATCACCCAATCACTTTATAATTTGCAATGTTTTCCAAATTAAATATCAATATAGTATTGAATTAAATTTAGTAATAATAGCCTAAACAATCAACTCCACTGTGGAGTTGAAAGCTCTGTCCCAACTTAATTATCTTAATAATTGCAATGTCTTAATTATCTTAATATTGCAAAGTCGCGGTGTTGCTCTGTACACGTAGCTGCCGTATTCTATTTTTAATACACCCGACCCGCCGACGGTCGACCTTGGGAACCACCCCTACCCCAATCACTCCTTTCTCCTACGGCAGTCTCAGCTGAGCTGCCAGCTTAGTTTGATGAGAGTTATTTACACTTAATGTTTAGGATCTCAATATCTAAATGTGATAACGTGGGTTTCTTTTATTCTGTATAAAAATTCTATTCAGAGTAGGTTTGTATTGAGGTTTTGCATAATTGCATTAATTTCAATTTGCTCTGTATTAATTAATAACATATTCAGTATAGTACTTTTTATACATTTTAACATTTTCTTACATTAGTTGGGATTTGGTTATCATCAATTAAAACAGATTTTCATACAAAATTAAAGTAATTTATCCCTAATAATCAATCCCAGATTCCTGACTCTAGTATTTTTGTAAGGTGATTCAATCCCTTTAGGTGTCTGTTTTTGGGGATTAAAACAAATATAGCGACATGATCACTCATTCTGTGTTGGGGGGGGGGGGCCTGGCAACATCCCGCCCCGGGCGCCAAAAAACCACGCGACGGCCCTGCGGCTGTCACTTGGATATAAAAGCACACACAGACCACGGGCGTAAACCTGTAAAACAGTGATCATTTACATTGTAATACGCTACAATCGTGTTTGTAAATAATGTATTCTTGTTTTTTTGTATTATTAATAACCTTTTGTAATGTCGCATATTGCGACGCCCGGTCTACAGCTAAGACAATAGTGAAATTATCATAGTTTTCTTGAAATAGACCAAACGTCGCATATATGCGACAGTTCATTTTTTGTGTTTTGAGGTGAAAGTAAGTAAAATAAAAAAAACAGATTGATCAAGAACAGTTTATAACTGAACAAATATAAAAGCTACATAGGATAATTCAGCATACATACTGCATATACATACAAACAGTGATGCAGAAAAGTAAAGACCAGTTTTTCCAACTATCATATGACGTCACCAAATCATCATATCCACAGACCAAGCGACGCAGTTGTGCGTCAGACAACTCTGTAGACCACTGCAGGGAATTCAGTGCCTTCAAATAGACCGTTACAAAGATATAAGCATTTTAATAACATTAGAACCCCGACGCAAATATGCGACGGCAGTCTATTTTAATGTGACTATCCGACGCATATATGCGACGGCAGTCTATGGGTGGAACCCGGCCGACGCATATGTGCGTCGCTAGTTCACATGAATGAAAAATTTCGTACTATTGCAGTAGCGAACGTGTTAAAACGTAATCCATAAATAAATTAAGTTAGCCTATCAGTCTTAAGTTATGTGATGTGCATATTAAGTTAATGAGTCGAACAGTTAGGCCTAGTGGTTCCTTTTCTTGCCTTTTGTAAATTCGGCAGCTAGGCCTATTTTTATGTTATCTCCTTGTACTACGCCAAGCACCGCCCTTTAAAATATTTTATATTAAAGACCAATAAAACCATTCATAAATTAGGCGTAGGCCTATACATAATAAGATGGCCATGGGAATCTAGTAACTTATATATCACCAAAAACTAGATTTTTAGCTAAAAATAATGGTGCAAAAATTGCAGCGCAACAGATTACCTCTTTTTCTGAAAGATAAAAATATTGTCATAAATAAGTACAAATCACTTATTTATTGTCCTTAAATGCCAGACTATGGTTAGGAGCAGATAAAAGGTTTACCAGATGTTTGTTTAGTTTACATTTTCATTAATTTATTACGACTTGTGCAATAAAAAACCATTAGAAGCTCAAACCCATTAATATTTTATCACCACAATCAAGTGTCAAGTCAAGTACTTCCAAGAACCATTGTGAAAGTAGCTTAGGTCATAAATGTTTTATCACTTTTATTCCTTTACAACTTATTTACTTACTTATAACCATTATTTATTACTTGGGTAATTATTATGAGATCCCAAACCTATTTATTCATGGAAATAATAGTTTTATTATAATGCCTTAAATTTCACTTCTTACTTCCACTTTTATCTTCTTGAACATTGAAATTGCCATTGCCTGTATGTCATAAAACTGTTTATGGTTTCATATTGAACTTGTAACTAATCAACAGTATTATTTTGTAAGTTAAAATGTTTTTTATGGATACACTTGTTCTCAAATCATGTCATAATTTTGGCTGTTCAGGTTTCAATGTTTTTGTTTCCCATATTTATTTATTGTGTTTTATGCTTTAAGCAATCTAACGCCTCTTTCACACGACACGGCGCGCGCCTGCCGGATCCGGCATAGGGCTATGGGAGTATAATAGTCCTTTCACACTATGTCCGGCAACACAAATTAGAGTTACCGCCGGATGCACCTTCAGCCGGACAACAGCGCCGCGCGGCGTCCACGCCGGACAACTCAGTGAAGGGCTATTGGTTCTTGTGGGAGCTTTCACACGGTGCGGCACGCGCCGCACGGCCCAACCCCTACGCTGTCTCAATTTAGGCAAACTACCTGACCAAGAGGGTGCAACAGTTATTAAGAAATTATTATATTGTTGTATCAGAAAATAATATATTTAAAGTTATCACAAAACATATATTTTTTTGTTGATCCCATGCAAATCGGTCAACTTAAAGTATGAAAACAAACTTTTTGAGGAGAATATTAAATTACTAATTTACACGTAAGTTTAATGAAACTTTTTTTTACTTCTAGAATACAATATTTTTTTGATATGACGAATTAATTATATTTTAAATTAGCCTATTCATTTTATTTGTACTTTTTTTTAAGTCTTCACTGGCGTGGTTAATGAGATTTACTCGGAGCGTTGGTAAGTTGGGTTCGTATGTCGTAATAGACATACGAAAATAAGAAAAGAATCTTTCTTCGTCGTTGCGTAAAGAATCAAATAACACCCCGAATGCTCCAAACTCGTGCCGATTTATTAAGTATTGGGTGAACCCAAATTGCCTATTATTTCTTCTTCTTTTTCTTCGCCTCCATAAAACCTTCTTTTGCCATGGTGTTAACATCGAAACTATTGAGTGTAACTCGGTTTTATTATTGGTAGTGCCACAACTGAACAGAAAATAATAAATACTCAGGAGTGTCGTACGGCGCGCGCCGGACAAAACTGTACTATTGTGAAGACACACGCTTTCAAAGAATAAAAATACCAAGGCCTGGACCTAATTATTTAGGGGGGCCTATATCAACTGAGTAGGCCTAATAAATAATGAGGTTATAGTAGCAGCAAAGTCACTATCATTATTCTAGTTCATAAGATTAACGCCTCTTTCACACGATGCGCCGGACAATAGACAATTTCTTTATTACAATTTCATCAAGAAATGTTACAGCGTCAAATTTTACAGATATAAAGTGAAATGGAAAAGCCTCTTCAGTGTTGTGTGTGGTCTTGCCATGCAAAGAACTCATTTAGGGTGTAGAAAGCTTTGTCTACCAGCCATCTCCGTAGCTTCCTCTTCATCAGCAACGGGCCTCCAAGTGGTCTGGTAATTTGTTAAGCATCTTCACTCCTGCATACAGTGGTTTCTTTTCAAACATTGCTGTTCTGTGGCCAGGCAGCACGTAGTTTCCTGCATATCTGGTGTTGTATTCATGTATATCTCTTTGTTTAGGCGGGTCTTTGGTTACGCAGTAAAAAACAGTTCTAGGATGTAGATGGAAGTCACCGTCAGAATGTTCAGGTTTTTGAAGGCATCTCTACAGCTTTGTTCTTTACTTATGCCTGCTATTATTCTGATAGCCCTTTTTTGCATAACCAGGACCCGGTTAAGATTGTCCATAGTGTATCCACCCCTGACAGTGATACCATAGCGTATATGGCTTTCAAACAATGTATGGTATGCAGTCCTCGTTGCCTCAGGGGTACTAGTCTCTTTGATTCGTTTTATGGCAAAGCGAGCTGGCCCGAGTTTTTGGCAAAGACAAGCTACATGACGATCCCAGGATAAATTTTCATCAATTATTACACCTAGATGTTTAATTTCTTCAGCTGCTGTCAGGTTGGGCATTTCAGATACTGTACTTTTTATTTCCAAAAGTAATTTGCTTGGTCTTACTTTCATTGAGGACTAAGTCATTTTTCATACAGTAGTCCTGTGTCATATTGAAAGCTATATAGGTGTTTACTTCTAGTTGATCTATGTTTCTGTTTGCTGTAAGCAGCACAGTGTCGTCTGCATACATGACCATCTTGCTGTACTCCTCAAGGTGTTCTGGGAAGTCATAAATAAACAGGCCAAACAGAACTGGCCCTAGGACAGAGCCCTGGGGAACTCCTCTGTTAGTCGGTAGCAATTCAGATCTGACAGTATCTGTAACCCCTTTTGTTGTGTGTTTTATTACTACCATTTTTGGCTTCGCCCTTTTAGATAACTTGCAAACCATTTCAGAGCTGTTCGCTGGATTCCTAAATTTCGAAGTTTATTTAGAATAAGATCATGTCCCAAGGAATCAAAAGCCTTGCTTAAGTCAAGATGCAGGCTGGTGATAGTGTTGCCATTTTCTATGTTCTCAATGATATATTCAACAAGGTCTATCAGAGCAGTTGTGGTTGATTTTCCAGGAACAAACCCATGTTGGCTGTTTGTCAATGCTTGGTTTTGACTAAGATGCTCCTGGATTCTTACTTTTATAATCTTCTCTATGAGTTTGGAGACAGATGAGAGCAGCGAGATAGGTCTGTAGTTAGAGATGTTTTGTAGGTCCCCTTGTTTGTGTTTAGGAAAAACCAAGGCTGTTTTCAAGTTGGTTGAAAAAGTCCCCTCTGCCATCGACATGTTTACAATCTTCATTAGCGGCATTATTAATTCATCTGCACATGTTTTAAGGATTTTTGAAGAGATTTCATCAATGCCTGATGATGTAGAGTTCTTTAATGATTTTTTTTGGTCCTGCCTCTCTCGTCAGGTGTTGTTGGACGGAAGGAAGAGAGAGTGTTTAATGTGGTAGCTGGAGGATTTTGAGCTATTGGTGGTGTGTTGTATCTGCTGTTTTGTTTTAATGTCTCCTCAGCTATGTTTACAAAATAATAATTAAAGCGGTTTGCTACATCTTTAGGGTCAGTAAGTTTCTTTCCATTGTCATTTAGTTCTATTGTAGAATTGTTGTCAAGCTCTTTCCTCCCTTTCCTCTCACTATTGATGGTGTTCCATATGGCTTTGGCTTTGTTTTCTGCTTGTCCAATGTATGCAGCACTTGTTTCTTGCCTTGCCTTTTTTAATTTTTGGTCGTAAGATTTCTTCTTGTCTGTAGCTATCTTCTTGTCATCAGGATGACCAGTTAGGAGAAATTTGTCTTGTGCTATTAAAAATCCTTATTAAGTGTCATAGTTTCTTCGTCATACATCAGTCGTTTACCCCTTTTTTGTGTAGTACAAAATCTTTTTTTCGGACATGCATTATTAATTGCAAGCTGGAGCGTTTGTTTGAAATTAAAGTAGGCCTCTTCCACATTATTTGTTCTCAAAACAGGTTCCCACGTTACAGTGGAGAGCTCATTTTTTAAGATCAGCAGATTGTTGTGGTTAAGGTTCCGTCTTGATGTATATGTTGTTGCTGCTTTTGTTTTTGGAAGGTCCAGTGTGCAGTATTGTCCTGTGTGGTCTGATAGACCTGTGTGAGAGACCACAACTTTAATCATGTTGTGGATATTTGAACACACCATGTCAATTGAGGATGCTGAGGTCTTTGAGATTCTTGTGGCTGGGAGCTCTAGTCTTCTTATGTTATACCCATCCAATAGCGAATTTAGTGTAACAGATTCTCTAGAAGCCTCATCCAAACTGTCAATGTTAATGTCCCCCATGATAAGTGTGTCAGTTCTCTGAGTAGGAAGGCTGTCTAGTGCATCTGACAGAACTTGTAGTGACGTATCAAGGTCAACACAAGGTGGTCGATAGACTACAAGGAGAAAAAGGCTCTTCTTCCTGTTTATGTGTATTTTTATTGCTGTTATTTCACATACTATTTCCAAGCTGTATCCTTCTATCTCTAGACTTTCGGTTTTGTTGGTTATATTGTTATGCTTGTAAATAACAACCCCTCCTTTGATATGTTCTTTCCTTCCATATGCACTGATAAGTGTGTAGTCAGCCAATTTAGCATGGTGTATTGCATTACTTTTTAGTCCATGTTCTGTAAGAATTACAAAGTCCGGGTTAGTGCTGTGTAGAAGGTGTTCAAGTCTTTCAATTTTGTTTGTCATCCTGTCCATGTTTTGGTGAAAGAAGGTAAGTTGATTTGTATTTTTACTTATTGATTTTATTTGAACTTGCTGTCTTCTTTGTAGGTTAGCCCGTTTGCTGGGTGCATCGAGTTTACAAAGATTCTGGTTTTGAAATTTTGTTTGAATTTGCTTGTTTTTCTTGGGTAAAGGCCTAAAAAATTCTTGTTTTGGTGTGTTTGGCCATCCCTCTTTTGTTTTGAGGTGAATAGGCCTAGTCAATTGGGAAATGGACCTGTGCTTGTGTTATTATGTAATGACTATTATTGTGCGTAGGGGTGAAGAATGGTTGGTGGAGAAGGTTGGCTGGGTGGATTTACGTAGAGATCTTGTGGGTTGGTCTTGTGATGGTTTGGACGGTCTTGTGAAGGTTTTTGTGCCGGGGTTTGGCTGGCTCCCCCAGTATGCTTCACGAGAAAGTCATCCAAAGTTTCCTGGTCGTTTCGTATCCTTGCTGTCGTAGGTGGAAGCCTCTCTTTTTGAGTCAGTTTTTTAGAAGGAGTTTGGCTGTTTCTCCTTGTCATATCCGTGTTCAGTTTTTTAGAAGGAGTTTGGCTGTTTCTCCTGGTCATATCCGGGTTCAGTTTTTTGAAAGGAGTTTGGCTGTCTCTCCTTGTAGTTTCATGTCTCAAGATGTCAGCGTCGCATTTCTGTTCTACACCATCTACCTGTAAGCCTATTTCTACATTGGCAGGTTCTTCAAGCCGAGCTTTGTTTTTGGCAACTTGGAGAGATACACTGAAATGGTTCCTTTCCTTCCCAATTGGTTTTTTGCTCTTGCTTAGGTTGTGGTTTTTAGAACGAGGAAAAATCTCTTTAGTGGGTGTACTTTGTGTGACTGCTGATGGTGTAGCAGGGTTCGTTAGTTCACCTTGTTTGTGCAGTTCTTTTTGCCTAGTTTCCACAGAGCGTTCTAGTTGGTCTTGTCGAGTTTTCAGCTGAGCCAGCTCAGTAATTAAAGAGGCGCAGTAGTTGGGAACATAAAAATCTGAGTGATTTGTTTGTGTTTCTGAAGAGCCAGTAGGTTTTTGTGCCCGAGGTAGGTCCGTTTTGTCATCTTGGTTTAGTTTCAGCTTGTTTATCATTCCACCTAGTTGCTTAATCTCATTTGCTGAGTCGAGTATTTTATTTATTAGGCCTACTCAGTTGATATAGGCCGCCCTAAATAATTAGGTCTAGGCCTTGGTATTTTTATTCTTTGAAAGAGCTGTACTAAGAAAATGTAATTGATCCCAATATCTTTTCAAATGAAAAGGCAATAATCTTACTCTGTGCTTACTGGTAGCCGCCTACCATACCGATTTTGTATCGAGAACCGATATAATTAACTCTTGTCAATTATTATCGTACTTACTTTTCTCTCTGGTACAACAACAGTGAAGAACAAGATAAATACAGTTTGACAAATCAGGAAAATATATTCGGTACCGTAATCACACCGACAAAGGTTACGACAAAGTGTTCTTAAATGTACGGGAATTGTCCATGAATTTTTTACCCAGAATGTAGTAGACACCCTGATTCATTTACCTTACCTTTGATGTCTTCGCCACAATCCATAGATCGGGGAATCTTCATTGATCATCTGACGATAGGGATGGACCTACTAGCAGTTTTTAAAGATTTATTTTGGCAGTAAAACTTAATCCAACACTATAAACATTGATTTCCGTATCAGTTAGATAAGTTTTTATAGGCCTACAGGTTTAATTAATCCTATTCTTAAAGTTAGATTTAGATTAACCAATCTGTTTTATCAATGTAGATTTGATTTGATCTTAAGTGCACGGTTGGCCTAGTAAATAAAGCATAAGACTTCAGTTGTGTTTATAAAAGACAGAACTAACTTTGGCCTCTTTTTTAGGTGATTGTGGAAAAGGCCCCTAAGGCAAGGATTGGTGATCTGGACAAGAAGAAGTACTTGGTGCCATCAGACTTAACCGTTGGCCAGTTCTACTTCTTGATTCGCAAGCGAGTTCACCTCAGACCGGAAGATGCACTCTTTTTCTTCGTCAACAATGTTATTCCTCCAACCAGTGCCACTATGGGATCACTCTACCAGGTAAGTTCCTTTTGCTTTTTGATTATCTAAACAATTAAGCTACCTAGCATGTTGATTAATTACACTTGGAGCCGTCCTCGTTTGAAATTCTTATAATTATTTGATGATATGTTGGTTATAATCTGTTGTAAGAAAAATGAAACAGCTACGCAAATTGTACCTACCAAATTCAATAAGTCTTATTGGTAGCGACAGTAGAACCCCTCATATCTGACCTTGGAATAACCGACTCCTCGGGATATTCGACCTAGTGTCCGACTGTACTTGTTTCCTGTCTGGGGGAATTAACGCCAAATGCGATCGGTTAGCCGAAAGGCCGATCGCGGATGTTGCTGTAATCGTGGCAGACGATCACCACTTACTCCGATAACGGGTGTCGCCGCTGTCACGGGAGACGATTGCTGAAGTCGCTTTGACTGCAAGTTATGCTCATGGCTGTTGCCGCGGTCGCGGAAGAAGATTACTGATGTCGTGGGGACAGGTTTTGCTCCTCACAATATCCAACCTTTTCGCCTTCCCCACTATGCCCCGGTCCCGTCATGGTCGGATATGGCTCTACTCTACTGCACTCTGTATTTATTTTTTTCACTTGTAGTTTTTTGTTTTATACCCTTCAAATTCCAAAATACTGCTTGAATATTTTTAAATGTCACAATAATCATAATTGTATTTGTAGGCCTACCTAGTATTGTGATCAGCTATACATTCAAATAATATTTTGTATGTTACCGGTAAATAGTTTAATATCTAGGGTCTACGACAATAATCATAATTGTATTTGTAACTTGTATGGGTCAGCTATACATTCAAATAATATTTTGTATGTTACTGGCGCTGCCAGTCTGCTGTGCAAACAAACAGTTCAAACATGGTCTACGAACCATGAAAACAAAGAGGACCAAATATGAGCAATCCAAAAAGAATTCCATAGATTATAAAGCAATACTTATGTCATTACATTTTAGATTTTTTAGTGTGCTGCCAACTACTTTGTTTTAAGTTAAAGTGCCTGCCACAAACCGCCGTAGAAATATAGTACGGTATATTAAGAAAACTCTGTCAAAAAAAAGAGGAAAAAAATGTAAACTATTTGTTTGTTAGCCTTATATTGTATCAATTGGACCTCACCGACAAGTTTTTTAAACTTGGTGAGGCCAAGGGTTGTAATAAATGTATTTGAATTTGAATCTAGGGTCTACGTTTGACATTAATTGGATTACGAACTTAAACCTTGTAACAAGAGAAAATTTAACAAGTTACTTTTCACAAATTATGGTAGGCCTACCAATTTAGATGTCATATTTCAAATTGATGTCAAATGACAATAAAGAGATTCTGATTCTGTAAACTTAGTGGGTGGTGTCTAACAAATTAATTACTGTAACTTATTGTAGTTTTCCATCCATGATCATTTAGTTAGCTTTATTTCATTGGCTGTAGGAATATATGTTAAGGTTTGCAGACTGTTTTTATCACAGTATCCAATTTATTTAACAATGTTTCATGTTTCAGGAGCACCACGAAGAGGATTTCTTCCTGTACATTGCGTACAGTGATGAAAACGTCTACGGCGATGCCTAAACCCTCTCTGCAAGTTTGTGTTATCACGTGAGAAAATTATCAGTGTTTTGACAGAGATTTGATTTCACCATTGTAATCAAATGCATTTTTTATAGAAAATCCCTCTGTAAAATATTCTGTTCATTAAACTAGTTAATCTCTGTGATAATTTTGTTTCTTTTGAATCAGATTTTGATTATAGTTAGTTTACGATTATATAGTTCTTGTACAGGGATACAGTAAAATGCTGTGTTACTCAATCACATTTTAGGTTTAGTTTTTGTTTTATTATTAACCTTAGTATTTTACTGTCTTTTATTTGGCACATAACTTAGCTTTTAAATAAAAAAAAAAAAAACGTGTGATGATTGTTGTTGCACATCTTAAATCATTTTGGCACATTATTTTGTAGGTGTTTAGCTAACAGGTTTTTGGTTCTGGCAAATTTATATTATTTTAAAGTATTTCCAATAAAATTGTTAAAAAAAGTAGCCAGCTAGTTTATGTCAATAATCACTTATTCACCCTCATTCATTGTTGACTTATTTGTAAATGGTGTTTCAATTATATGTTTACTACAGACAAATTACTCACAAAACAAAGTTGTTCACTGTGATTGAACAACCACAATCACTTTTCTTAATATTTACTGTGCTCGAAGAAAAATGTTTTAATCACAACAATTTACTGAGTTTGGTTCGGTAAAAATCAATAAGTAAGGTGTGTTGTAGCTGGGTTGCTGTGTATTAAAAGTAGTTTGCCTTTTTAGTTTTTAATTAATTAATTACCTCTTATAAGAGAGAATAGTTTAACCTTTTGAAGGTTCAAAATTGGAAATAGGTCTTTTGTCTTTGGGTTGTTTAACCTCAAGGATTATTGAGGGATGTAATCATGTCTCCAATTGCACGTAAAGCAAGTTACAGGTGGACACTTAATAGGTACAAAGTAGCAAAATGCTTTGGAAAAAGTAATGCACAGAGGATACTAATGGCACTTGAGTGGTGTCTAGCACAAGTGCTGGTGTCGAGGGCAAAGCCCAACACCAACCCCCCCCCCCCTCGTCTTCTTGTACTAGTGGTGGAATATTCTAATGGTTTCCATAACTAAATAACCGGTCAGTTAGTTTTAGCGTTAATCGGTGAATTTGGTTGAACGAATCACCAAATAAATTTGAGCCATTCACTGTCCCAAACCACAACTAATTTTAACTTGTGAAAAACACTGATTAGACATTCACTGTTCCAAACAACTAATTTTACCTGATGAGAAACCAAATAACATTTAGTGAATAGGCTTACCCACCTCTTTAAACTGTTTTCTGAAAAAAGGCAAAAAAAGAGCGTAAAATAAATTTAACTGTAAACTTTTCTTATTGACATCAAACAAAAGAGCAAATTGCTAGGCTCCTCCTCCTTATTCTTCACATTACAAGACAAAATTTCATTTGTATAAGCAAATCACCGAATAGCTCCGTAAGACTAGTTTAACCGAACTGAATTGGTCTGTTGGCAACAATAACCGATTCATTCGGTTATTTTCATTCGGTGATTCCCACCACTATCATATACTTTAACTCTCCTGGGGAAGGAAGACCCTGTGCCCTGTGTGATGGAATTTCCGCACAGTGCTCGCCGCTCAGGCCCTTCCTTACTCCGTCACAAGTATATTCCCGGTACAACGTACTACAGATGTCATCCCATGTTCCCAGCAAGATCCTCCCATAAGCGAGTTTCCTCTGTACCTTACTTCTCTGAGTTACAACTCAAAAAGGATCCACCCTTCCTGTCCATTTTCACCTGGGTCATAAATTGTAGATGGGCCTCTCCCACCAACCCTGCATGTGGTATGACGGACATGACCAAGACCAACCTAATAGTACTATCAGAGTGTGAAGCGTAAAAGTTAGTAAATTAACCCTTCCTAGACGGCCTATCATATATAACGACAGCACATTAATTTCATTTAAATAGAAACTAAAAAATATCTTTTAGCGAATTTCCCTATAGGGAAGTAGCTATCTATGCTATTACCGTTGGTGGCATGGTAAGACCTAGGCCCGGGGCCGATTTACTTTTTAATTTTGATGTCCCCAGAGGCCAAAAACACGATTCGTTTAGATTTGTAAATATGTATCAGGCCCCCAAGTGGTTTTTGACCTCAAAAAAGTAGGAAAAGTAGGAGTTTTTCAGGAAAAAGTAGGACTTTTTACTGAAAAGTAGGACTTAATTTTACATACAAATCGAACTTTTTTGCTGATACAATATATATTAAATACCCCCGTCGCAGCAAACCTGCATACTAAGCGAATTTCCATTTACCCGGCTTGATTTCTACTAAAATATTCCCTATAAATTTTAAGATTTATTTCCTATTTAAATAACATTAATTTTAGTGAGTAGTTAGGTTTGCTGCTACGGGGAAGATGTTGAGATGTGTTTTTTCTATTGAAATATTGATAGCTTAGTATGAAATAAGCCAAATTGCCAAATTTGATTAAAATATATCCATAGACAAGCAAACTAGAACAGTTTATTTATTCTCCATAAGAATAACATGGGAATTTTACAATTTTTTTAATTTTCTCTGTAGTCAATGAACATTCAAAAAAACTTCAATATACTAAATTATTTGTTTTTTTAAGCTCTTCAAAATGGTCTAGAGAGAAATTTAGAAATTTCAAGTTTTTAGGGACAAAAATGAGAAAAATCCATTATTACCCCATAAAACCCCCCATAAACCCCTGATCCCATGGTCCGATTATGCTGGTTTGCGAACTCGTTCGAATAAATGTAGGTTTACACGTTTGTACCAAATTTCATCAAAATCGGATCAATTTTGCTCGAGTTATCGCGCTAACGGACACATATATAAATATATATATATATATATATGAATTTGAACGGATGGTGTTTTTGGCCTCTGGGGACCTCAAAACGAAAAAGTAAATCGGTCCCGAGTCTAGGTCTTACCATGAGACCTACGGTAATAGCTTATTCCCTATATGGGAAATTCGCTAAAACCAAATAATACTAGCATACACAATAGTTTATAAAATAGAATAGTGTATATAAATATACAGGGTGTTTCCAAATTGTCTGGACATATTTTGTGGACTTGTTTCTGGGGCTAAGACAAACATAAAATTCCATATAAGTATGCATGGGTCTAAAATGCCTAAATTTTTGTTGGTCGGTCTATTTGTGACATTTAAAAATTATTTTATATCTTGGGCATTTTTCAAGATAGAACTTTTAAAATGGTTATAAATGTGTATTTTAGAAGGTGAAAAGAGCTTGCAAAGTTTCGATCCAATATCTCAAGCCGTTTCAATATGGCAGCCATTTAAAATCTTTAATGCCAAATTTCATGAAGAAAACCGTAAATATTTAGAAAATGGTTTCCAGGATCAAAAAGATAGAGAATTCAAATCTAAATCAAATGAGACCTTATTTGTAAAATCGGATGACAAACAACCATAAATAAGTTTTTTTTCAACATTCGGTTACCGTACGCAATTTAATAGCACTACCATACTGTATTCTTATTTGTTATTTTTCAGAGCAGTATGGGTAGTCCTATTAAATTGCGTAAACAAATTTAGAAAAAACTGATTGGTTGATTGTCATCAGATTTTAAAAAACAAGATCTCATTTGATTTGTATTTGAATTCTCTATCTTTTTGATCCAGGAAACTATATTCTAAATATTTACGGTTTCAAATTAAATTTGGCATTAAATATTTTAAATGGCTGCCATATTGAAACGGCTTGAGATATTGGATCGAAACTTTGCAAGCTCTTATCACCTTCTAAAATACAGGTCCGCTCTCCGCGTTCCTCTCTCTGCTCTCCGCTTCCGCGCCTAGGAAAACCCGGCTTTAGCCCAAGAAAGAAGTCCACAAAATATGTCCAGACAATTTGGAAACATAACTAAAATAATTCTATATATAAATTTTAAAATTAATATCAATAATTAATTATTTTTATTTAAAAAGTCTTCAACTAAAAGGCCGGATAAAGTTTTAGCTGAGATTGTACACCAAATGTTCAGAAGTAACGTACAAGAGAAATTAAAATGTTAAGGAGTCATTATCTACAGTCATCACGAAAAAATATTTAGGACAAGCAGCATTAAATAAAGGATAAAAATAAATATGTTTCCTTAACGTTACCAACCAGCCCTAATTTGTGTTTAAAATGGTGCTGTAAATAAGAAATTTGTTCTTTTTTTATATTATTTAATATTTCAGAACTAAAATTAATATAAAAGTAAAATTAATTTTTTTGGGTGGAAAACAGAAGCATGAATAGTTATTTAAGTAGGCCTATAAAGTACGGAACTAGCCTATATATAATATAAAATTCTAAAAATATGTTCCAAAAGTATTTTGAATTAGTTAGATTAGAGCTATCTTAAAAGTAGTAGGAATGTTTGAATTGTAATGAGTAAAAACTATTTGAGCCAGTGAGACTTGGACATTTAAACTTGAACTTAAGCCTTAATTTATTTTGAATACAGTTATGTCAAAAAATCATGTTTAGGCTAATCAGGGAAACACTGGACCGATAAGTGCTAAGTTAACTACTTTTGAACTAGTATCCCAGGGCTCCCCAGGAGCATTGATTTCCCCTCAGTTTACTTCATTGGGGAATCTAAAAGACATGTCAGAATAGTAAGCACTGATAATAATCACAATTTTTATTTTCTATCACAATAGTATTGCCATGTCTTTGAAAAAAAAAAAAAAATGTTTTCACCCAATAACAATGTTGATAAGATTAACCATACAGATACTACCAGTACTGGAACTTATAAATTAAAATTTAAAATCATTTAACAGATTGTTTTATAAAAAATATATCTCAGTCAGTCATATTTTTTAGGAAAAAACTTCTCATTGGGAAATATTGATAAGTAAACATTAATAATAAGTGTAATAAAATATCGCAAAATCGACATAATTTTTATAAAAAAGTAGGAAAGTAGGACAAATGTGTAAAAAGTAGGACTTTTCCTACTTTCCTACTAAAAAGTAGGAAAAGTAGGACGACTTGGAGGCCTGATGTATATATATATATAGATTTATATATATGTGTGTCCATAACTAACTTGAGTAATCTTTGTCCAATTTTGATGAAATTTGGTTTGAAGGTGTAAGGCGGGATATTCTTGAACGAGTTCGCGAACCAGCATGATCGGACCATGGGAACGGGGTTTTATGGGATAAAAATTGGTTTTTCTAATTTTTGACCCACAAAACACAACATTTTCCAATTTCTCTCCAGACCATTTTAAAGAGCTTAAAAAACAAATAATTTACTATATTAAAGTGTTTTTGTACAATTATTGGCTACGGAGAAAATTCAACAAAATTTTATTTTAAAATTACCATGTTATTCTTATGGAGAATATTGTAAAATGTTGTAGTTTGCTTGTTTATGGATATAATTTGATCAAACTTGGTAAATTTATTTATTTTATACTAAGTTATTATTATTTTACTAAAAAACACACTTATTTACCCTCCCCGTAGCAGCAAGCCTAGGTACTCATAAAACCTAATGTTAATTACAGTAAATACATTCAATTGAAAATCAATTCAGGGAAATGGAAATTCGCTTAGTCGGCAGGTTTGCTGCGGCGGGGGTATTTTATATCTATAATTTATAGAATTTTGTAACATAGTTGACCTAAGCAGCACTTTTGTCCAAGATAAAATGTTGTAAACTTTTAACTTTTTTTTAAATTAACCCTCCAAGTGTCCATAGTTTAGGCCTTAATGTCCACCTATTTTTGGCGCATTTGCAAGGTTTTATTAAAACGGATCTGAGAAGCTTAAAACAATGTTAATTCTAATGTTCTATATACCATTTTGTTCGGAAAATCATGGGCTTCAATATTATATATAAAACATAAGGAACATTTAAAAAAAAAAAAAATTTTAGGTACCGTAAAAGAAAATATAATTTCGAAAATTTTCAAAAAAAAAAAAGTTTGCGCTCAATGAAATTGTATAAATTATAGGCCTATAAATATTTGAAAATAGCCACTTTGTTCTAAATTTTATGAGGATTACAAATATATAATAATATAAGGAAGTAGATTTGCAAATAAATAAGTTATGGGCAAAAAACAGATTTCAGTACATAGCGTTTAGCTAAGAATGCATAGCCTAACCCTAGCTAGGAATCTGGCTGATAATTTACATCAATATCACTACCTACTTCTTCAGGATCATCAACTAGCACTTCAAAACCACTTAAATCTTCTTATAATGCAACACGTATATCACTTCTTTTGATTTTTAACACTAAAACAATGATAAACGTAATAAAACACATCAGTCATCGGTCCGGATAACCTAGCTGTTTACAAATACACGCACGTCAGCTGTCTGCTACAATTACGATCGGCTCAGAGAACGTACAGCGCTGAGACAGACCTCTGGAGAAAGCTTAGAATATTACGGAAAGAACGATACCTAACTCGATCCAGTTCAATCCGATTCAGTCAGTCATAGAGCCTTCGCCGTAAACGATGTCTGCGTGTCGAAAAATCGACAAGTAACACTACACAAAGTGTGCTGCTTGTCGAATTTTCGTCAAGTAACACTGGGAGGGTTAAATTTCTTATTTTTCTAGAAAACATTCCTAGTACATCGGTTAAAGATTAATAATGTTATAAACAATCAACTATAACAATAACTGTCGTAATAATCGGCCTATATATCTGCCTACCAACCGCAGAGCAGAGCCCAAAAAGATAGACCGTCCGCTATGCTCAAAATACAAGCCGGAATGCAAAATAATAGTTTGGGAAGGATTAAGAAAAATTGTTTTGATCAAGTCTAATAATGTTTCCACTTACAGTTTGCTGTGCGATAAATTTAGTATAAGGGAGTAAAGACTAGTGAAAACTGTTAAAACATGTTTATTGTGAAAAATACAAAGTTGCAAGAGAGTAGTAAAAATATAACATATAAAACTATAGACTAGAAATGATTTTATCAAATATACAACACAACTAATGTTTCTTTTGACAGGCTCATATTTACACTTAGGCTTCAGTATCAAATATAGGCAACAATGTTTGGGATCACCCATAACAGTGTAGATCAATTTTCTAATTGATATTTTCATTTTGTCATACTGCACTGCAGCTAAAATAGCTGTTTCCAATACGCTTGCAGGTCTTAAAGTGGCGTTTCTCATCTCTAGCCTAAAAGAATGGTCATTGTTTTACCATTGTGTATCCCCATAGCCTCTTATAATACAAGGTTGGTGTGTGGCATTATCACAGCAGCCTTATTGCCATGATAAAAAAAGTGTACACGTAAATTATTGAGCAGAAGCTCCTTTATGAATTGATGCAACAGCTGTTTTGATAGCCTGGGACCGCAGCGTTACCACTTTTGTTTACCCGCAGCCTTGTAATAAAGGAGGCCATGGTATATTACACTGTATATTTTACTTGCAATAAATACTCCTTTATGGATTTAATTTCAACTAACAATTGTAAAAGTATTTGAATTATTAAATAATTAAAATTACTAATCTAATCTCTTTAGTTATCTTGGCTATTATTTCTTTGACAACTAAAACTTTGAATTTTTTCATAGCTGATACATGTAACTTTCTTCAGATTGCTAAAACCCAGCCAAATAGTTTATTGTATTCGTAACAGCTGCCTTTTGATACAGCTAATCCTGATTGCAGCTTTTTACTTGGGAAAATCACTACAGTAGACTCCCTCTTATCCGGACACCTTTTAACCGGACATCGGTTTAACCGGACTTACTCGGCGGAAATGATATCTCTTTAAACGGACAATTTTTATCAGCACATTGGTTTAACCGGACTATATCGGCAGTAAGTGGGCAGTACTGAAACGTCTGTTCTCGTGGGAAAGATTTGAGACCAGTGATCACGTGTCTTAATACAATGCTCTCCTAAATTTAAGTTGAATATCACAGTAAACAGTCCTTTTTAACGAGTTTTTGGGGACGTCGGTTTAACCGGAATACCCGTTATCCGGACTGGCCTCGGTCCCGAGGAGTCCGGATAAGAGGGAGTCTACTGTTACAAAAACAAACAATGTGCTACATTTTTGATTGATGAATTGGCTAAAATAATGCTGCAATGTGATAAAAAATGTAGTTCATCCCACAGAACAAAGTGTATTTGGAGTACAAATTCATTCATCTCAACTTCATCTGTCTCTTGATGGTTATGCTTGATTTGAATAGAGTCCCTTTAGGCTCTATTAGTGGAATAGGCCTACTTTAGTTAGTCATCTAAGACAGAGCAATAAAATAAATGCCTTTGCAAAGTAACATTGAATGAAAAAAAATCACAGTATTCTGTTCTACAGAGAATGAGTAAATTTCTCCATTTAACTAAAACAACAGTATAGTTTATGTCTTGAGATTTATTGTTGGCACTGGTGGTAATATGACAAATTAGCTAAATCCATTGACTTTGGATGGGTACTAAAAAATACACTACCTCCTACTTTACGTGGACCAACCTAAAATAATTACACACTTATTTTTTAAACTCAAATAAAACATTGTTAAATGAGCCTCACAGAGTTTGCAGATGTTGAAGTCTTACTTTCTCTTACAATTTTCACACAATGTTAATTCATAAGAATGCTTTATACAACACTGGGTTTTGCTTGGCGTGATTAAAAAGTTTGTAAAGAACAGTAAAGAATTGGTACTTTACAATGGCACAATGATGGTGGATCAGTTATTTTATTTCTAAAAATTACTTGTGATGTGGGAATTAAAATGTTTAAGGGTATATTCAGTCTTTCGTTCTGCAACTAATTTAAATCAACTCATAGATTTGTATAAATATTTAAGGGAACAATTTTCACAACAATGACTACTAACTATTAACCTATCGTTTAAAAAAATAAATATATTTTCCCTCGTAGACTATGCATTTTGGTTATATCTTGGACCACTTTTTTTACCAGTTTAAAAAATACTAAAAGAGTTTTTCGTATTGAGGAAATACCTCTTAAGTACTTCATGTTACCCTGAAGTACTGCATAGATTCATAGACCCTCTAAAAAATATATCTCAATATCATATTGAAACACAGAAGGTTTTATGTTAAAATTATTTTATGTTCAGCAAAAAATTAAATACGTTTATCACATTTAGTATGTTAGTATGATGTGTTTTTAAGTAAGCCAGGTAACAAAAATGGTATTCAAGGCAGGACTGCTTGGAAAGGCAAAATTATGTTATAAGGGGGACAGGGTTTGTAAAAAACTGTAGAACAGTAGAACTCCAATTATCCGAACTCCAATTAACCGAATCTCCGATTATCAGAATCGCTTACTTCAACAATTTTAAAAACGTAAAGCTACAGTTATAAGTTTTGCAAAATATCAAAGAATTGTTATTTAACACATTTAGCCAGTGTGTAATTTTGGACTTTGATGGAACACCAAAATTACACACTGGCTAAACTATTAACTTAAGAACATGTATAGAACACTTGTACTAAGAGCATTGTAAACTGTAAAAATGTTCTGATTTCATTTATTATTAATTAAAAGTTCACTTAGTACCAAAAATTAGGATTTATCTTTAAAATTCCCGGAATTCCGGTAAAACTCCGACTATCCGAATGGGGTCTGGTCCCTATTGATTCGGATAATCGGAGTTCTACTATAAGGATGGGATTTTTTCAAGGGGGGAAATTACACTAGTTTTTTAGTGCAACGTCTTAGAAAAAAAACGCATTAAACCTAGTTTTTAAGGACTTATTTTCCATTTTCCAATATTTTCTGGTTGAGGCCCCCAAACCCCCCTTTTCCCAGGACATACCCTGTACTATTTTCTGGCAGTGCCCTTCCCAGATCAGATATCACAGTTTGCCAGTAGAACAGGGTGATTCAAATAAACATAAAACAACTCAATAAATACTAAATGATCAAAATCCAATAAACTTGAGAGTAGATAAGATAAGTAAGTACATAAGAATATTACTTATTGTTTTATGAAAAGAAAATAATTTGTGGATACTATTAATAGCCCCATTATAACAATTTAAAACCTCTTGCAATTAATTTGTTTAAACTGAGGAATATTTGTAATCATTGCAACATGGCAGTCTTTTTTATTGATAACCTTCAAGTGTCTTTCAATATAAAATTTATTTTTATATAGCTACTTATCCTGATTAGTCAGTTAAAAAAATTGCAAAATGAGGTTTAAATCCGTTAGCTGCCCCCATCTCCTTTAAATGTAAAATTGGGTCAGGCTCAATGCATGTTTTATTTTTAGCACCGTCAGAAAAACTTCACAGGTAAATGCTGACACCTTATCATCAAACATGTAAAAATTTTGCTGATATTAAGCAACAGTAGAGTCCCTATAGTCTGAAATGGTTGTGACCGGACCAATTTCGGATTACCAAATATTTCAAATCAAAAGTTTTTTGTTTTTAATTTTTTGTCCTAGGACGCTAGGCACGAGCCTGGGATTGTTTTTAACATTGCTGTAGGCTAGACCTAGGGGTTGCGGCATTATCACTTAGATAAAATCCATTGGTGATTTGGTGGGATTGGAACCCGGAAAGAAAATAGAAACTGTTTATAAAAAAAATTGCCAAATTATTTCTAATATACTCTATACGACAAGTCTATCTCGCCCGGCCGCTACAGAATACTTCGACAAGGTACAACCATAGGAGTATGTTTTATCTATGGTACAACTAACTGTCGTTACACAACAGTTTCGGCTTTTCCCAAAGGGTGACAACACGTATGTGGGTCATCACTTTTTGTGTCAACAATAAACTGCATTAATGTTGTCACTCAACGGTGCTAGTAATTTCAACTTTCCCAGATAAGTGACAGCACTTACTGGATAACAACAGTTTTTTTAAATAAAAAAAAAATTATAATTGGACTAAGCGGACTTTTGGATTATTGGGACTCCAATGTATACCGACGAAATAGTTCCATAAGTAATCTAATCATACTTAGGTTAGGAAAGTTATTTCATTTGATAGCCTACATGTATTTTAAAAAGGAGATTTTTTATTATGAATAACTTGGCGAGGCCATGCTTGTAATATCCTAAATAAATATATTTGAATTTTGAAAATGAAATTACTATTCTTGACTTAACTTGGCCCAACTTGCATTAAAAAAGTATTTGATTAATTCCTCCCACTAACCAATACTAGAAACAAGAATTAAGTTACCTTATTTAGTAGCCTATGTTCTCCCCCGTGAAGATGGTGATAAACTCAACAACATTGTGCCCGTGCCGCTATGTATAAATAGTGTACATAATGTAAATAGAACATCTTACAATATCCCTGAAGATGACACACATTGTGGCATAACATATTGGAGAGGAAACAACAACATCTGCAAGAACTAATGCTAATAAAGAAAATAAATTAAATTATCCGATATTGTAACAAAGAGTTGGGAGGCAGCTAGCAAATTTTGCAAAACAAAGTTTATTAATGAAAGCCCATTAAATTTTTATAATTGGGAAAAATAGAAAACGTATTCTACAAGTGGGCCTTACAAAAGTTCAATTCACTGCACAAAACGCATTGATTGCACACCGTGGCATTACAGGCAACAAGGTGCTAGTTGATGAGACTAGTGATAGGTGGGAGTAAAGTCTGCTGTCTCGGTGCTCGGGATGTTCTGATGTGTCCTGCTCGCACCTGATCCTCTCTCTATGTCTTCGTACGGGCCTCTGGTTTCTCTTTCTGCAACAAAACCATCGATTCGCTAAAGAAACATGATTATTTAGTGGAAATTAATGTGTCATATTTTAAACCAGAAGGGTGTGTACTAGTTCTTTTAAATGAAATTTGTGCTTTTTCAGTAATGACCTGTAGAATTATGTAGGCCACATAGTTTTATACAGCATTAATATATAGTCACGCCATTTCAGTTAATTATATGCCTAAAAACTTTAACACTATGTTCTGCCCAAAAAGTAAGTCCTGCTCACAAGTAATTACTCATTAATGTATTTTTAGTGAATTTCCAATTTAGTGAAATACCTTAAGTGACCATCCAATTAGGTATGGGATTGGAATAGTCTGCAGGTTAGCTGCGGCGGGGGTATTTGTAATAAAATTAATGATTTGAATTCTTGGTTAAAAAATCAAAATAATTCTTTAATCTTGCAAAACCATTAAAGGACATAAATATAAAGTGTTTAGAATAAAACATCAAACTTATTTGACTAAACATTGTGTCCAATTTTAAAACTATGATAGGCCTTCTGTAGTGATTAGGATGTGCATTACTAGCTTATAAGGCAGGCATTGTACATGTGACAATGATTGGTATACTTAAACAACAAAAAGCCTTTCCATCGAACAGGTATTTCACATATAATCTAAAAATTGTAAGCTAGTAAGTCTTAAAATGGCCTAACAAGTAACATACTTAATATTGCATCTTTTTTGCTCCTGTCGTCATTTGATTTTTAAATTTGTATCGAGCCTGATAGTGATGCATGCAACAGCCAACAACAATTATTTAAGTGCAGACAACATAATAATTATTGTAATTTGGAATAGGTAGTGATTAGTTAAAAAAAAACATGTTTGAAACAAAAGCTTCACAAATAATTATTTCCAAACAAAATTCAGTTTCCTTACAAATAACTTGTGGTACTGTACATAAAGAAAGTGTTCAGATCAAAGTGCATTCTTTTGAAAACACTCGTACGCCATTAGTGAAGTGATTAGTACTGTCAAGGTTTTAATCAGGTTGGGACGACCTTGGATGAAACCATGACAGTTTAGGCTGGGTACACATGAGTAACAGTTGAAGCAACAATTGTAGCACCGCTCGATCAACCCGTACAAGTTGGTGACAAACGCAGCATGTCACCACACAGCATTTGGTTCTTTCTGGGAATTTCAACTCATCCTGATTTACTGATAATTTCTTTGGCATGTTTCAACTATGGACACAAACACGTTTTTTCACCGTATGGAAACACATTATACGCCTATCTGTCCAGAAATAGAACCCTTGTCAGACACGTAAAACTGTATTCCATGCCAGGGAAGGCATTCTAACCGTGTTGTTCTACCAGGTTTAGCAGCGCTGGTGTATCAGAGATGTTCAGTTCTCCTTTAGCACTCTCCTGGAAAAGGCAAAAAAGAAACAAAACAGATTTCCACGATTCAGGACTGGTCAGATGAACAAGCGTGTCTCGTAATGGTGAGTTTAGGCCAACACACAAGAAAGTATGCAAGACATAATCGTAATTGGAGTCACCGTACTGATATTGCATACTTTAACATCTTTGTGAAGGCAAGCCCCTAAATCAACCTTGACCGGTGAGGGGCTTGGTAAGATAGAAATTTACCTTTTCTTGCTCTCGCTCTAACGACCTTCGCCTTTGGAGATACCCAATGAGTCTAACCGCCCATCTTCCTTATTCATCCCCTTTGAGCAATGTCGCCAATCCCTAATGTAGGTTCTTGGGCTTCAGTACAGCTTAAAGCACTATTTTTGTAAAAATACGCTTCTGCTCAAAGCAAGAAGATCAATGGGAATCACCTCGACGTTCGCTTATTCAGCTTCTAAACATTTATACAAAAGTATTGGACCCATACTCTCATGCTTATCAAAAGTTTCATTTTCCACAACTGAAATTTGTAATTACCAATGAGTATACGTTTCAAAAAATTGGCTGATTAATTTAAAGACCATTAAAAAAAACACACACCACTATTTGTCTAGCAGTTAAATTTACTCTTTTATTATAAACGATTGTCTGCAAAATCAAAATTTCGATTCCCAGCTATCTCTAACCTTACTTATTATGATCGAAGTCTCTACTTGGTTTCAAGTTTCGGATCTGAAATGAAATGAAATCTTTGAGGACTATTACGAGAAATTAGGAATACCTAATGAGTTAACACCTTGCTGATGCCTACGGTATGGCTAGGCTGCCTGACTGGAAACTATCACTGTGGTGAATCAGACCCTGGCAAGTGTCCACCGCAATACACCAGTTTGTACTGTTCTTTACGCTTCATTGGTTTGCTTTGCTGTAATGCCTCCGCTGCAACTGTCGCTCATGTGTACTCTTGAACATTCCGTGAACCTAGCAATGTCGTAAGTTGGTGTACGAGTGTCAGACTTACTCAGGCTACAGTGGCCACTGTATTGTTGGGAGCTGGAGGGGTTTGCTGCTTACAGCACCCTAAACACCAATAAACAGTCTGTTTAGTACCACGGAGTTGACAATCTGTTGTTCATGTCAACATCCAAGTGACTAAACAAAACTCTGGTACAGTCAAACCACCCTAAGTAGGAACTTGGCAGGTAGGATGAAAACACTGTACTATCCTCAAATGAAAAGTAAACATCGAGTCTTCCTTACTCAACCACTCACCTAATTAACTTAGTGAGACTGTGCGCACAGAAAGTTTCTGTCAGGTGTGTAGTTCAAGTACAACCAAGACTTGAAACCTTATATTGGACACTATTTTTTAGAACAATTCCTAACTTTAAAAAATCTGAAGACATTCTTACTTGACCTATGGATGTATGTAACTTACACTCTTACAGTATAGAAGATTTTAGTAATTTCAATTTTAAATTATGTATAGTATTTTTTAATGTATAGTAAATGTTTCTTATTGCTAAGACTTGACACTATTCATGTCTATCAATTGTGTACTATATAAGGAATAGACTTTTTAAATCTTGAGGAGGGCATGTCTCAGGAACCTAGCGATTCGGTTACAAAACCAATGTTTTTGGAAAATCATTATTTTCTGCCATAATCAACCCTTTTCTCTATCGCTCCACACCGGGCACATGCCTTCTTAGAGTTATTTGACTGTATCACTACAGAATAATTTGATTTAAAATCACCTTATAAAATACACCAACTTGGAATTCCCACAGTTCAGCTATGAGGTCTCCTGCCTTCCATGTTTAGGTAATGAAGCTACCAGTTTGTATGAACTGAGGTAAAATATGATAAATTACGTTTTAAAATATTAAATCAAGGCATGGTGAAAGTTTAAGTTTACCATATATTAAAGCCAATAACTGCACGGACGTTGAAGAAGTCTGTCATCTCTTTAATGATTACTATACAATGATGGTTGAAAATGACATATTGCCCAAACTAATATCTTCTACTGGTTCGAAAAATATTATTACACCCTCCCAAAAATTGATATCAAAATTCAGTCTTTCACCAATTACTTATGAAGAGCTGGATAACATTATAACTTCTTTTGATAATAAATTTTCCACTGGCTGGGATGAAATACCAATGCCAATAATTAAACAGGCTTGTCTATATATATTATTACCATTACTACATGTTATAAACTCTTCTTTTATCTCTGGAATTTTCCCCAAAAAATTAAAAAAATCAAAAATTAAACCTTGTTATAAAAATGGTAACCCAGAAGAAGTGTGTAATTACAGACCTATCTCATTGTTAAGCTCATTTTCAAAAATTTTTGAGCGAGTTGTGCATATACAACTTTCAAAATACTTAGAGGAAAATAATTTATTAGATAAGGAACAATATGGTTTTAGAGAAGGAAGGTCCGTGATTGACGCAGGAGTTGATTTCTGTGAATCTATAATTAATTCAATTGATTCAAAGGAAAAAGTAGTGGGAATATTCTTAGACTTAACAAAAGCCTTTGATAGTGTCTCACATGATTTACTTCTTGAAAAACTTAAATATAACGGTGTAAAAGGGAGAGCTTGGCGTTGGTTTGAATCTTATCTTACAGGCAGGCAGCAGTATGTCACAATTGATCACATAAATAGCCATAATCAATTAATTACTTACACTTCCTCAACGAAAATTGTTAAGTATGGTGTCCCTCAAGGATCAATATTGGGGCCCTTATTATTCTTAATTTACTTAACTGACTTCCCCTCATTGATAGAATCTCCCAATCGTGTTTGTTTATTTGCTGATGACATCAATATAAAAATATCCGGAAATTCAAATGCTGATGTGGAAGTCTCTTCTTTTGTTGAGCTTACCAAATGTAACCAATATTTAAATGAAATCAATTTATTACCGAATACAATAAAAACTAATTATATAAATTTTTCTTCAACAAGCAAAAATTTACCTGAGTTTAATATTTTTATGGATACAATTTTACTAAATGATGTTAAAACAATAAAATTTCTTGGATTGCATATAGATGATAAATTCAACTGGGACAGTCATGTTGAAAACGTTTGTAATAAAGTCAACTCAGGCATACATGCATTAAGACAGATGTCAAAATTTAGTAGTTTAAAAACCTTAAAAATAGTATATCATTCCTTAATTGAATCACATATTTCTTTTGGGTTGTGTCTTTATGGGGGCACATCAAATTTTAACCTAAATAGCATTCTGGAACTTAAAAAAAAAGCAATTCGCATTATGTTAAAACTAAAGTAAAAAACATCCGCAAAAGAGCAGTTTAAAGAAATAGGAATTATGACTGTTTTTAGCTTATACATTTATCAAATAGCCCTTTATATTAAATCAAACCATGAAAGATTGCCAAAATTGAACTATTTTCATACATATTCAACCAGAAAAGGTAATGAATTGGCGTTCAACAGACATAATTTATCGGTTTATGAAAAAATTCCATCTTATAGTGGTGTTAAATATTTCAATAGCTTACCTGACAATATAAAAAACATAAGTAATTTTAATTCATTTAAAAAACGTTTGAAATTATTTCTCACCAAC